AAACTAATCACATTTTTTAAGCATGTTTAGCTTAGAGGGAGTACAAGAATGACCGTAAATGTTGCTCTGAAAAGATTTGTCATTGCGTCTGTTACCAAGACTAAATTATGTGTTAATCTTGTACTTGTTCTTAACTGTCTTATATTCATTCACTCTGTTTTTTTAGGTATCGTTGTTTGTCTTCAAAACTTGATTTAAGCAGCCCTAGTCCAGGAGAGAATGTTCGAAGAATACTGAGTATCATTGATCGACTTGACCCTGAAAGCTATCAGTTTGGCAGATCAAAGGTATCACTATGCACGCGTTATGCTTATTCCTTTCTGCTTTGTTGTTGCACCTTTGCCTAGTCCCTAGGCCTCATTATTTCGCGCGGCCTCTGCGACTTGGGTCACATGATCCGAGCGAGTTGTTGGTCCCGGATAATAGAGACCTAGTTTAGATTCTAAGACGAGAACGACTACAAGAACGAGATTTTCTCAATACTGAGTATTGCTCACGTGTGAACCAGCGTCCTTTTTCGCGGGAAAACATGATAGCCGTCGTCATTCTACTACGAGTTTTAGCGAGAATGTCGTAGTGGCGGAAACGAGGTATCAAATGTTACAAGTTTTGTTAGTTTGAGATCGGGAGAGGGCTTAACCTCCTTTAATAAAGATAACAGTGCTAACTTTTCTGGTGAGTCAAAAGTACAGTGAAGCTTTCCGGGGTATCTATTTTTTGAGAGTACGCGCAAAAACTTGAAGTCAAATCTCGTACTCGTGGTCTTTCTCGCTCGAATCTAAAACTGTCTACTATTTCATCCGCACCGTGTAGAATTGCTGAAAAAAGAAAGCAAAACAGTTATTTTGTTGATATGTTCAGTACTGTATAGAAGTATCACTTTAAAGTGGGTTAGTAAAGATTTTAAATTCTTGATGGGGAATTTGTCATTAGTTTCGTCATGTTTATGTTATATCTGTATTTGTTTTCTGTAGTTGTTTTTGAAGGAGAGTTTACATGAACAACTGGAAGAAGCCAGATCTGCAAAGCTTAATCGCATGGCAGTTGTTATCCAAGCAAGGGTGAGCTACTGTACAGTTGTTGTTGTTGTTTACTGTTTTCACAGCTTTTGTAAATAATTTACTTGTCAGTTTGTCTTAAAAACGAATATTGCTTTACATGTAACCGGTATATATATATATATTTTTGGAATGCAGATGCGTGGGTATTTCGTTAATAGCAAGTATCTCAAGATGAAAAAAGCTTCAATTGTCATTCAAAGCAACACAAGACGGTTCCTGCAAAGGTAGACGGCATTTCCGACAAATTTTAGTTTCAAGTGCTTGCCAGGACGTTAATAATTGTCAACTAATAAACGATGGCACGCAAAGGGAAATAACAGCCCACATTAAGCATTTTTAGTGCCTCCTTTTTGTTTACTACTGAGGAGAATCAAGTTAATTCAAATCAAGTTTAAAGGAGCTATATAACGCTATTGCTATCTCTTTATTAAAAAGCAAATGCCTTTGCATCAATTTAATTCCAAATATAATAGTCCAATTTTGGTATTCAAGACTATATTTAGGCATAAAAACTGTTTCCTGTCATCTGTAACTACAGATGACAAGGCTTAATGCTATGCCTGCAAAAATCATCAAAAAATTATTATGGCTGGCGCTCCCTATTTAAAGAAAAATGGTTTGATTCCCTTTTCATAACTCTAGCGGAGCATTTTGTACATGGATAAAGGCACTGACTGATGACTTAAGCGCAGAACTAATCCCCCCGGGGGTGGGGTGGCGGCAGTCAAGGGACGTTTCGATAGAGGTGTCAGGCCGCCTAGGCCTTCAAACCCTGACCCTGGTTAAAACAGAAGTGGTTCATTTCGTTAGAATACCCTGTCTGAGACAAGAGACCTTATTTTATGACAGCGATCCATGTCGTTTCGCCAACAGAATAAAGCTTTTTTTAACATCATGGAACTTTTTTCGTGATAACCACGTTTTTTTGAATACTCTAAGTCACAGTAGTGTCAGCTTCCATAAAATGAAAGGTCCAAAATAATACCCTCTTTTTAAAATTAACTACATTAACTCATTATTACGAGTATTGTGTGGTTTTTGAAATCACTTATGTTCAGGATTGAATGCACGTTACTTTAGTAAATTTACTTATTTTTCAGTTAGTTGAAAAATGGGAAATGTGAAAGGACTAGGACTCAAGTATTGTTTGTGTCTAAAGTAACTAGCACGTTTTTAAATAATACTTATCAAAGCTCTAAGAATCGCAACTCTTGACTTGCGAGAAGGCATCACTTAGCTTTTTATTGTATGTTTAATGAGGTGTTTTTTTTACTTTTAGGAAAATGGTTGTGATTAGTTCTTGTGTCTTTGTACAATGTAATAACATTATTAATAATACTTTGCTTTTACTTTGGTTGCACAGGAGAAAGTTCCAAAAAGCAAGGAAAGGAATTATTCTTCTTCAAGCAATTTACAGAATGAGAAATCAACGTCAAGTCTTTCTGCGTGTAAGTCTTGCCTGACACACCCACATTTGTATTTTATTTCATTTCGGTTTCGTTTTTATTTATATATTCTTAGAGCTCCAGAATTTTAGGAAGCGAGAACACTTTTTTAAAAATAATAAGATCTACATGGAATAAATCAACCTGGCTTAGAAATAGGTGGCTATACATAATTATTCTCATATTGCCTCAGTAAAAAACTGCTTGTGGCTCAATGTGAGCGTTCATGCTCCAAGTGATTCTGAACACCAGTCAACAACTGAACCTCTTTTAATGCCTGTGAAGGGAAATCTTGCATTGCTTACGTCCTGTCCCTTGTTCATTCTTATGGCCACTCCTCCTTTAACTTGTTCGTAGTAGTTTCAGTAGTTTCTATAGAAGGGCCTTGAAATATAAATCTTTCTTGATCTCATGTCCTGATTAGATTACGACAAATAGTAGGATTTTCACCATTACAGCATTTAAATTGTTAGTATTACAGTGACGTTAATAAATATAAGGCATAAAATTCGTCGAGCGGAAGTAGGATCGATCCATAATTTAGTGCCGAAACAACGCGGAAAGATGAATAAATAGTATTATTCGAATGTGGCTAAAATAGTCTTGAAGAGTCTTAAAGAGGAGGAAGCGTGATATAAATAGCCTAAAAACTCGTATTTTTGTTTTGCTTTGTTTTTCTTTTTTCCATGAAAATGAAATTGATTTATTGTTGTCAAAAGGTCTGAAGTAGGCTTTTATAAGTATAGATATAATAGCATGATTGGTAGTGATATTTGGCATAAATACTGACCACGAGTGATATTTCGAAATTGTCATACGTAATTTCACGAGCCGTTATTTACGGTATTTGTGGTATTCATGCCAAATATCACGTACAGATCATGCTGTTATTTGTTCATACTACTACCCGCAAAGGTTTTGTAATTTTCACATGTAGGTCTTTTAAATTAAGCTGAAATACCACTGCTCTAAACCAATCAAATTGCAGAAATTTCTCATGTCGTAGTATACAATGAAATACCTAAACAATGTCATTAAAAAATGTGTTTAAATATAGTCTCAGGTAATGCACCGAAAAGTCCATGACGGAAGAACAATAATAACACTAAACCTCGCATAGTCAAACCCTAACTTTGGAACAAGTGTCAAAAAAAAAAAGAAGAAAAAAACGTGAAACTTGATGAATAGATTGCAGTGATTATAATTTCAATGAAAACAACCCGGACGGGTTGTGTTTGGAGGGAAGGGCGATAAAACCTCCTTGAAACCGATATCCCTTCACCAAGAACTTTTTTCCGTATATCTCTGCTGGCCCTCTGGAACTCCCTTTGTTGAGCCAGTTATAGTGGGTTATTTGTGAACTAACTGTAGGTCAGTGAGGAACGTCTTTAAAATGCACAAGATTCTGGTCCAGTGCGTTTGTTTCCAAAACGTCTTGCTAGTATCATAGTTTGTTTATTTTCACAATTTTCCTTTTAGTATGACGTTCGTTATTGCAGCCAATAGATACGTTTTCAGTTCCTGGTTGTCAATTTCAAGAATATGATAAATATTTAATCACGAATGTTGTAAATTTAAATTATATCTTTGGTAGCTTGATTTCTCATCTCATTTTTATGCTATGTTTGAAAGCTTTTTAGAATAAAATTTGTAAAGAACGGTGATGCATGTTTTTGCATATTTTCTAACATCTTCTGCAGTTCTACTATTTTAGTCTGTTATGGCCATGGTAGTTAATGAAGCCGCGTTGTTTTTAACTGTATTTTTGAGTTTTCGGAATTTTCTATGATAGGACATTCAAATTTCACTTGATAGTGGTTTCAAAAGTATTTTTACAAACTGAACTGTGGAGTAAGTTTTGGTTCGAAGTGGTTATGTTCCGCTCCGGCCTCTGCCAACCTCGGTGTTTATAAAAACTGAATAAACTCCCGAGACCAAGTTTTAATGCGATGTAATGTCTTAAGTCTGACTTTAGGGTCTGTGGACAAAATGTCTGGATAACATGGTGTTATTTATTTTTAAGGATATTTACAAGATGAAATTTTGACTTTTTTTGCTAATGGTTTATTCTCTTTGTCTTATTTACTTTTTCATCTGTTTATTTAGGAAAGTGGATTACACGAAATTGAGTAGAATGTTTACATATCTTTCTGTACTTAATGTTTAAGTAAAATCGTGTCGCTGAAACTGGTACTGAATAAAGCATTTTTGAAGTTTCGACAGATAAAAATTCATGTATATGTGAATTATAGAATCACGTGTGGCTGCAAGTTTAGATCGATGTATACTTGCGTGGCTGAACAAATATCACAATAATACGACAATTAGAAAAGCTGACAGATTTTTTGAATATATTACATGCTGTTATTAGCATATTAGCATTTGCAGTTCTAATATTGTTCGTGACTTCATCGGTTTAAATTACCCATGTTTATTGCTCAACAACCACTAATATTGTTGCAGTTTTAACCGGATGGACACGGGATTTGTAGCAGATGTTTTGATATTTCAGTCAAATGGTTTTCTGTAATGCAAACGAAAACCTTCATCGAGACTGGCTGGTTGATTGAGTTTTAGATGAAACTAAATTGACTGCATTCTTGTCCAAAACAATAACTTGATTCATCTATGAGTTTAGTTGTAAGTAAGCGCGTCGATTTGTTATATTTAGCATATTAATTCACCTTAGCTTGTTTTCCCCTGTGTTTCATAATTTTACTGTAAATGTGCAACCTCTATGTAGTGTATTGCAACAGCTTACCAATGTTGAACGTTAGTGTTAATAACACACTCCATTATTGATATAAACATCCCGTAGAACAAGCGGTGAGTAATTCAAGTGTTGTTTACCGGTTTATTCATTTCGCTATCAACGAAATAATTTCATACAGTTATATTTAAGACATTCAGTACCGGTAGAAATGTATCTCTAACCTTGAAATTCAGAAAATCAGCCGGTGACAAACGTCCCGGAACTTTTCGGGCCCGAAGTCACATTTTCAAATCAAAATCTACAAAATAAAGTTGTAGGTCCTAGCTAACAAACCAGTTCATTTTCGTTTTTTTTTTTAACTGATAGTTTTTATCTTATGATCTGCAAAACTGTTGAAAACGTATTCTTGAATAAAACAGCAAGAGCTTTCCGAGAGCCCGTTTCTCGAAAGCTCCGGTAACTTGTCGGGTCCGAAGACAAATTTTGAAATCAAAACCAGTCGAATAGTAGCAAAATTCCTAGCTTACAAACCGATCAATTTTTCTTCGTTAACTCTTAATTTCATTGCGTCATTTTCAAAGTTATTGAAACTTTTATCTTGAATGCAAACATAGCAAACATAAATCAGCTTTTCGGGCTTGAAAAGTTATCGGGACTTTCGAGGCTTGTTTATAATAATAATAATAATAATAATAATATACAGTATTTATAGAGCGCTAATTCCCAATGGTTCAAAAGCGCTTTGCATAATAAAAATAACAACAAAATCCTAAACCTACAAAACTACATTGTCATTCTACAAAAATTCCCAATGGTCCAAAAGCGCTTCACATAATAGTATATCGAGAATCCCGAGAAACGTGGCCAGGATCCGTGTTATCAGTTAGCGGAAAATGTTCATTCGAGTGAGTGTAGTGCTGAATAGTGTGGTAGTCAACATCAAATGACGTTTGTTTTTATGTATACACATGTTTGACTTTCAAAAACGCATCCATTGAAGTATATTTAAAATACTATAGTATTCTGTGACAGTTTTTGTCAAATTATGAATGCTTACAAGAAGAGTTAACAACCCTTTTTGTGGCCAGTCACTTTTTGAGTGCTAAAGTGTCCCCTGACAGGATATTAAGACCGAATTTCGGGACCCAGAAAAAGTGTCCCTTTCTCCTGAATAGAGGTGTCCCTTCAATAGAGGTTACAGATACCAAGATTACGTTAACATATTTTTTTGTGGAACCAAATTTTCTGTCCCCTGAATAGAGGTGTCCCTTCAATAGAGGAAACAAAACAAAGATTATGTGAACATTTTTGTGGAACCAAATTTTCTGTCCCCTGAATAGAGGTGTCCCTTCAATAGAGGAAGCAAAACAAAGATTATGTGAACATTTTTGTGGAACCAAATTTTCTGTCCCCTGAATAGAGGTGTCCCTTCAATAGAGGAAACAAAACAAAGATTATGTGAACATTTTTGTGGGAGCAAAATTTGTGCCCGCTCAATAGAGGTGTTTCTTCAATAGATGTAACAAATACAAAGATTATTTGAACATTTTTCTGGGACCAAATTCTGTGTTCCCTGAGTGGAGGGGTCCCGTGAATAGAGCTGTACCAAAGAAGAGGCTCCACTGTAAGATTGTTCCAGTTTCTGCTTCTTATGCAGCCTGTGTGGCAGGCGTTAAAAGGGGAAGGGAAAGGTGGAACTTGGGCGCGCGAGGTCTCGCACCTTAATTCCCTTCCCCTTCTCTTTCGAACGCCTGCCACGCAGGCTACTTCTTATGCATGAAGTGTTAACTCAAGTACAGCTGGTGCATTGTATAATGAAAGTGTTCTTTTTCAAAGCAGATCCGTAATGCAAGAGACAAGAAAACGTGGGCGACCCAAGCAGTGCCTGCAACTTTGTCTGAAGAAGTCATGGCGGCTCCTGAGCTAACAGTTAGTATCAAATATGTGCTTTTCCAATTAAATTTAACCTTTTTCCTCCTAAACGTGACCAAAGTCAAAATTCACCAAAATTTCCAAATTTTATTTTGTAAATTGCTAAAAAGCAGATAGCACCAGGTGAAAGAACTGCATGCCAAAGAGGTTTGACTTGAATTGCCATACCATAGGATATCACAACTCCACAGACTCAAAAGAAAGAATCTCCATCATTCCGTTTAAAAGCGATCGTATGGATTGATTTCTTTTGATGGGGCCGAATATTTCAGCGAAGTCTAGCTTAGATCATGGTTTAGACGATCTTTTCACAAGTGGACGTTCTATTAAGCAGGCGAATGTCTTTCTTGTCTTTACTGTACTAGTACATAACAATGCACAGTCTCACAATAAACAATGCCTGGATACTCACATTGGCCGGTGTTAAAAAAAACCCTTAAGAATGTAGTTTTGTTAAGCACCGGCTAAACTGTGTTTTAAATTCTTTTAAATTTAACCCTTGTCGTTTAAAATTAACTTGGAAGAAAAGGATGAAGTGTGCTCTATTCTGACAACATTAATTGGACTTCTGCTACCAGCGAGATTCCAGTCTCTGCCCAGGATTGTACATATTTACTGTTAAGCTGTACATTGTTTTTTTTCTGATTTCCATGAATGAAAGTTTAGCAAGCTGTGTTCAACTTGTCGTAATTCTCACATAATAGACCCTTCACTGTTTTCTTTTCACCTTATGATGAAGAGAATTAAGCGAATATTCATCGCCATTGCTGGAAAAAGGCCTTTAACGTAAGGTAACTTTCCAAGTTCAAAGGTGATACGTCCAAAGAGAGCGAAGATATTGCTATACAAAGTCGTTTGCTATACAGACGTTTGTATGGTGAGGCCAAGAACTTGCCCCCCCCTCTCCACCCCTCCCCACCATATCACTATGTCTTCGGTAGTTTTCAACTAATCACTTTCAAACTTCGCAGCGTTGCTGATTTCAAGGCGTTCTATCCAGCCGAGTTAACGGATTTTCGCTAACTGGTCTCAGTCAAAAAGACGTGGAAGGGTCTATAACCGTCTTGCTTATTATTGCTTTTGAATTCTCTGCAGGAAATCGAGAGACAAAGTCCCACAGATGTCACACATCTTGATATTCCTGCTGATTTGGCACTAGTCTTTGCCAACATCCACGGTAAGAACGCATGAATGACTGCTTAATGTCAAAAATTTGACCACAGAGCCGTTTTTCATTTTAGTTACTTTTCCGATAGTCAGCGCCTCGCTGAAGCCTGGTTCACGCAAGCACATTTTTTGTGACAATGTTTTTGTACTCGTGTACTCGAGAAAGTGCATTTATCCAAATATTTTGTGAGATATGTAGTTAGATGTCAGTTGTTATAGTTTGTATGGTAATCCATGACAATCAACAGTAACAATCCTGTTAAACATTTAAGTAACTAGTGAAACACAGGCAGATTATTTAGACTTTCTTAAAGTAGGGTGAGTTGAAATGGAATCAAATAGGGACGGTAAAGTGAGGACGTTTTAATTCTTTTCAGCAAAATTATGATCTTGACGAAACAAATGCATTGCGGTAAATCTTACGATGGACTCTAAACCTCCCAATAGATTCTTCATTCAAGGCGTCGAATCTGCTAGCATAATTATCCCCTTACTTCAATTGCATTCGACGATACAGACATTCTTAGTCACTATTGAGCTCACCACAAACGGTAATTATGAATGTTAATAGTTTTAATAATGATGTTAATTAACGTAGGTATTGATACAATATTTTTGTTTTTAAAAATAAGACTGGTCTTTGACCCATGGAAACTCTATTAAAGAAAACAGAGGAGAAATAATCAAGAAAGATTATGCAACATCAGAGTTACCGGGGGATATTAATGAATTCCCTTTCTCCAAGTTTGCTCATGAACACTTCCAAGTAAGAGAACTCTTTATTTTAAAGTTCCACTTTGAAATGATATCGTTTTTTCATATTTGCTGTTTCCATTATGTACACCACTTCCAGATAACTAACAATAAGCATTTTGACATTTTCAAAGAAATGTTGTCTGATTTTGATTTTGATGTTGGCTTTCTTCTTTTTTTGCCTAAATCATCATCATCATCGTTATCACCACCACCACCACCATCATCGTCATCATCGTCATCATCGTCATCATCGTCATCATCATCATCATCGTCATCGTCATCGTCATCGTCATCGTCATCGTCATCGTCATCGTCATCGTCATCATCATCATCGTCTTCGCTATCACAATTAACATCTTCATAATTGCCATCGTCTTCAACATTATTAAGCAGTTTCAGATGTCACAGGGGCGGCGGCGTCGAGAACGTCAAAAACAGTAGGTTTAATGAGCAAAACCACTCTGCTCGCACGTTACAATTTTTGGTGCTTTCTTTGCCCTCACCGCTCGACGCGTGAGATTTTCTAATGCTACGTTTTGTGAACGACGGATACACGGAAAGACATTTTTTGAACTTGTTTTGGATGCTGTTCCTTTGATTTCAACTCAAGGAGCCGCCTACATTTGACAAACTGAGGGAGCTGGAATCACCGCGATGACGTTGAAAAGAGCGTGGGTTCACTTAATAAGCGACGTTTTCGCTGCCTTCGCTTTCCTGTCTCTTAAACTCTTAATTATCATTTTATTTGTGACAAAGCTTTTTTGCCTGCCTTGGTTGTATCTAAACGTTTTTGAGAAGGTCTATCTTTTTATTTGTAGAGTGAACACCAATGGCGTATGCTGAGAACTCCGCTACGGACCAGCTTGTTACATATCAAGTATTCTGACAGTGTGTTGGCAACCAGCCTCTTTCAGTTGGTAAGCAGATTCTGGTGTCATACATTCCATGGTATCAGTAAACTGTTAAAGAAAGGGATTGACAACACTGTGATGTGCTTCGATTGCCTTCCTTTATCGAAATAATTCCTTTTTTCTTTGCTTTTTGTTTTTCTCACAACATAGGTAATGCGATTTATGGATGATGAGTCCATTACTGGTCCCAAAGAATTTGCTGTTGGTAACTATTTGGTGCAAATGGTGAGATCATTTTCTGCTTCCTTTCGTGCAGATAAGCCGAACAGTTACATCTGATAAGTTACTTTGTTACTTGATGGTTGGAAAAAAGGAACAAATTCTCTAAAATTTGTTAGAAATGAAGTGCCACACGGAAGCCAACATGTCTCATAACTGGCTCTGCAGGTGAAAGGGTCAAACATGTTTGGAACACCCCCATCACCCCTATAGATGACATTTTCTGAAGGCATTTCTAGAGAGCTTTTCTAAGGGAGGCAATACTAGTTTCTCAAGGGGATTGTTATACAAAATGTCAATTTCTAAAGGGTGAAAATACTAAGAATAAATTTCTGAAGGGATGAGGGGAGCATTACATCATTCGTTTAGGGATTGTGAATACAATTCTTCGATAGAGAGTGCTGTAAAACCTCCTTTCTGAAGGGGACAAATAACATTGCCACATTTTTTTTGAGGGGTATGGGGCACAAATTATACTTTTTCTTAGGGATTCTAAGAATCAATGTTAATTTCTGAACGGGGTTACATTAGGAAAATTTTTCTGAAGAGGTCCGCCAAAATAGGGGAAGTGTATATTAAATGGAATGACCCTATTTTTCTGATACTCACTACCTAAAATGTTGAATTAGCAATATATGATTGGTACCGAAAGAATAAGATGCTGGCTGCATCTATAAAACCCACCAATCTTACATGTTAAATTAAGTTCCATTTACGCGTTGTTGTCTTCTCAGGGTATTTTCAAGAGCGAACTACGCGAGGAGATGTACTGTCATCTTTGTAATCAAACATGGGGAAACCAATCTGATGTTAGCAACGAGCGTGGATGGCTTCTGCTAGCATTATTTCTTTGTTGTTTTGCACCATCATCACGACTTTACAAACATCTTCTCAAGTAAGCTGCAGTTAATCTGTTTTACACTGTTCCGACAGTGGATTCATTTTCATGAAAGCTTTTTTCTTATGTAAATTCAGGATCTTCTCTTTCTCATCAATGATCAAGCAGGGACAACTAAAACAGGATAACACTAATATCAAGTGAACAGTAGGTTCAATATCGTGAAATTAGGCATTTTCACGCGTAGTCAGTACTGCAAGAAAATATTGTTGGTTTGAATAAACCTATTGCTTTCATTTGAATCCATGTCACTCGTCGGATGACTTCCTAATAAAGGGATAGTCAAGCTTTTTCATTTGAATGCATGTCACGACATGAAAAAATAACCCATGACTTAGAAGAATCCATACACTAAGGGCACCTTGTAAAGCATGCAATAGGCTAGTACTACGAGAAAACACTGAAAAAGCATGCACCACCGATTATTAGTGAAAAGTGGTGCTATACTTACTGTTTGCCGTAACCTTAGACTGAAATTTGCTCATTCATTTTAGGTATGTTTCTGACCAAGCTTACAATGGCTACAAGAGCTATTGTCAGCATAAGCTACTGTGCTGGGACATGAGTGGGTCGCCTGTGTCACGGTGTCACCCTCCCACTCGGCTTGAGTGGGAAGCTGCAAAACAGAAGGCAAATATGGCGGCTGAGTGCCACTTTCCGGACGGTAAGAGATTCTTTACATAAAAACTTTTGTCTCGGTTTTGTGTACGTTAAACTGAACTTAAGCAACGCTTGACGTTCGCCTGAGAATCTGGGGCCAGCTGCTTAATGTTGAAGGGCCAGCTATATCACGCTATTTGCTATCTTTTTAAAAGGCTAAAGCTATTTTTACATCAATTGAATTCCAAAAATAATAGTCCATTTTTGTTAAAACTGTTTTCTGTCATCTGGTGCAATGGATGGTAAGGGGACATGAATTGAAACTTCAAGTTTTAATACTGTGTCTCCAAGAATCACCAAAAAACGTTATGGTTAGTGCTCCCTGGTCAAATTTGTTTGGTAGTGCCTGGGTAAAGGTACGAAGTAATGACCTCAGCACAGAATTGAATAAAAACAGCAATATCCTCGTGACATAGCGCCTTTTACGTCTAAGGCTTAGCTTATTCTAAAGTTAACAGTGAAAATTTCAGCTGACTGAGTTCCAAGTAGTCAGCAGAGTTTTATGTGGTGCCGTCATATCTTTTACACAGCAACTACCAAGTCATTAAGTGTATCTACCAAACTTAAGTTGTGAAGCTGTGTGTTTTTCCTGTAATATTTATATACCTGCCTCTTATGTAGGAGAGAGAAGAACAGCGGAAGTTGAATCTTGTACCACAGGAGAGCAGTTTGCTGCTTCAGTTCTCGAGGACAGGTGAGTGAATCTCCCAGCACTCAATTACTCTTGTTCTTAGCGGAGCTCTCCCGCGCGCGCAACGGAGCACCATGGGTAATAAAATTTGGTTACGTGCGTCCAAGAAATTTCGGCTGTGACAAAATCGTACGTCCTTCCCCTCATGTAATGGAATGTGAAATATCACTCTTACTAGCTTTTAGTCCAAAGCATATACAGTTTATATTCTCTGTTGTGGTCTGTGCAGTTTCACATGACTGTATCGCGGGCTTAGGTGTACAACTCATTGAGGTGACGTGATTTTTTAAGTTCATCGCTGACCAGTTATTGGTTTTCAATTGGCAGGCTCAGATCCATTTTTTCAGGGGGAATTCAGTTTCATTCATGCGAAAGTTGATAGACATTACTTAAACGATCCCAGTAGAGATCCGCTTTTGGCCTTGGCTAAATCTATATATAGTTATATTATCTTGATGGCTAGACAATGATGCAAACCTACTTTATTTTTGGCTTTTTAGAGGAGTGGAGGATCCAAAAGGTTGGAGCGTTGATCTTGAGTGCAATGACTGGACCTCTTCTCTTTGCGGCCGAGACTATGTTCTGGATCTTGTTTCTGAACTAGAGTATCCTCCAGCCTTTCCTCTCTCTCAGTCTTCGTCACTGTTGTCAATTAAACCAGGACGCACAGTTCCAGAGAGCCAGATGAAGACGCTATCTAAGTAACTTTTTTTCTTTAGTATGAGTAGTGTAATAATCAGGGTTGTCACTAAGATTTCAAGTTGCCGGGTAAATACAACAACTAGGCGGGGAATCAAACAGCTAGGAATTTCTCGAGCAAGCGAACTCGGACCGTCTGAAAATCGGAATTTCCTTTGCTAGAAAGCACTTTTTATTATAGTCGCAGTTCTATCCCTTAAACTGATTTTTGTTTTTTAATTTCCAGCCTGCACATGCAGCAAGTTCGTGGAAAAAGCGTAGCAGAAATTGCCTACAAATTCTCCTTTGTTGAGCATCAACGCACATCGTCGTTATCTAACCATGCTCAGCGTGAAGATGCTTTAAGTGCAGCCACATCAGCAAGATTGGCGGAAGCTAGTTACCTCGGCCAGGTGGAGGATGGCCTGGTGCAGAGAACAAGGCTGGGAAGCAACACTGTCTTACCCCCTTCTCCTAGTGCTCAAGTATTTGTTCCACCTCCTCCTCCACCCGCACCCGCGTTTATTCCACCGCCCCCTCCCCCGCCGCCTCCAGTGATGCCGCCACCTCAGGCAGTGGTGCTCAGAGGAAGATCAATCAAGAAAGGAGAAAAGAAAAAGCGAGATAGTGGACCCCAGTTATCTATGGCTGAAGTTGTTGCTAAGGCGAAGAAAATGCGTGAGGCGCGCGAAAATGTGCTGTCGACCGGCAGCTCCGCCTCTGCGAATCAAGAAAGCAAAGAGGATCCGTTTGAGTCTGCGATGCAAGCCCGAGTGGTACAGCTGAAGAGTAGAAGAGTTGAAGTTCAGCAGGGACCTCGGCAGGAGGAAGACAATGAAATGATGAGGGAAATGCGGCGCAAAGCCAAACGTGCAAGTCAGGCGTTTGTTGAAAAGGAAGAAAAAGAGGGTGTTACTATCACTATCGTGAATGGCGGGTTATCTGCAGTAAATGGTGGAAGAGTTGTCTTGTCCTCCTCTTCCAGCAGAGGTACTGGAGACAGTGACTCGATACAATCATCAGAAGGTTCCGACAAACTAGAGTCACCCAAAGAAGTCAATGATTTTGTGAACAGTTTGTTTGACCCTGTGCTTTCGCAAGGAGTCGAGGGATTATCAAGTGAGATTGCGCTTCAGGGAGCTTTGAAAGGTGGCGGCGGAGTGAATCAGCCCACAACGACGTCAGTGAATACATCTGCTTCAGGAACGTTCACAACGACAGCGGCAGTGAATGGACATCCTGTCGGTCAGGGAAATGGGTATCCTGCGTTTCCGATGCAAGGGAATGGGTACCCTGGGCTCATTCCGGGAATGGTACCCGCCGGAATGTATTATGGCCTTCCGCAAACCAATGGACCTATGTTTCCTGCACCAAGTATGGATGCAGCAGTGCTAGCGGCTCAGCAACAGATTCTTATTGAGCGGCTGATAGCACAACAGGCTCTTTTACAACAACAACAAACGGCTGCTACACAGAAACAGCAAGAGCAGCTGTTGCAGCTGGCGCAGCAGCAGCAAGCACAGTTAGAGCAGATGCAGCAACTCCTTGCTGCTTCTGGCCAGCAGAGTCAGTTAGCTGCTGCAGGTCTAAATCAGTCTAACGTGACCACGGGTATTAATACGGCGAGCGCTGCACAATCGACTTCCGTCGCTATTTCAAGTATTCCTGTGAATGGCCATGCCGCTAGTGAGAACGGAGAAAATGATGATACCAAATTCCAAATTCCACTACCTCCTCCGGAGTTTTCTGACACTATTAGTTTGGAGTCAACTGAACTGTTTATCCCTTCGTCACCGCCACCACCATACCCCATGTCAGAAGTCCAGGAGCAATCAATTACTGTTACAGAAACATTCCCACCACCTCCAACTCCCTTAATGGAAAACGCCGACACTGCAGACAAGGTGGATGCGCCTCCGAGACCAGAGCTGAAGAGACGGTCTACTGATAAGGTGGCCCTAGCGGTGGCCGCTTTGGAACTTATATCAGACGAGGTGCGATCCCCGGGTCCCATGTCACCAGTGAAACCTGGGGAACAAACGTTTAGTTTTACCATGGAAACGTCTGCAAAGGAAAGGCCAGAGTTTCACAAAAGAGCGTCGTCTTCAATGGGATTTGTATTATTATCGGACAAACAGAATAAAACTGTGCTTCATCCCAGATGTACTGGACCTTATTTGTCATATAACAATGTCAAGTGGAGGTTTAACATTCGCAAAGAGGTAGGCTGCAACTCGTGTACAATTAGCCCTCTTTGTACAACTTGTTTACAAGTGCGATGTAAACGCCACAATGGCTTTAGCTTGAACGAATCTGCTGCAGCTCAAAGCTTCGGCTAACGCGTTCAATATTGTCTTAACAACTTCATATCGCTATCAGAGTACGGTGCAGTCTGCCAGAAACGACTGAAGAAAAAATGAGCCGCGTTCATTCGTATCTCCTTTAAATTTTTGCTTCCTGAAGTTCTGCGTTGACTTACGTATTTGAATTGCGATGAACCATTTTAAATTAGCCTTTTAGAGTGCCCCTTTTTTATTGTGGACATAATGTTTATAATAACATAATTTTTATATCTCTGCTTCAGCTGTTGTTTACATAGGCTTCAATTAAAGAATTTGAGATGCGATATTGTGACCGTCTGATAGTCGTCCTCGCCGCCGATTGGCTCAACTGTTATACTGCAGGAACATGTTTCAAAATCGTGCGCACGCAGGTTCACAGCGTTCTTAAGATATTTTATTTTGCCCTCAAGATATACACATAAAATGCGACTTGTCGGCGGGGGCTAATTTGCCCCCTAAATTCTGACTGAAAAAGTATGGGCGCAGACAGACAGACTTACGTTTGGAACCTATCTGATGGCATTCGTTTCCTATCTCGGCCTTTATATTTGGCATAGCCTGCGGGCAATCTCTCCCCGGGCGCTCTGGCGGCGTACCCCCGGGAACCCCAGGAGAGCTTGCTTGCAGGCTATATTTGGCAGCACTGAAAGGGAACAGTGAATTGAACGAAGGTGAATGTTTTATATTGTTTTAGGTTTTTATGGCAGATGAGAAAGTCAGCAACAATCTGGTTCAGCGCCTCATTTTCCTACAGGTTAGTTTTGCTTTTTGAAGGGAACTTCCGTATGGAAAAAATACAGGGTTTGACCTTTGACATGGTTTTTTAAACCTGGCTAAGGCCTCAGAATCGCGAACTTATATTCTGCCACATGTTAATTTACCGTAAAAATCGAGTGGTTTCTTGACCACCTGTTTGTTTTCATTTTTGGTTCGAATTCGAAGAGCCGTTCGTTACAATCCCTTTAATTCTGAGTCATCAGGATATCTACCTGCTGTTCGGGAAAGGAGCCCACCATCCTCCCCAAAAAGTGGGGACGGAGAAGAGGCGAGGCGACATACACTAGAGTCTAGAGAGCGGCAGAAATCGAGCCTTTAATAACTAGTTCTTGTATCAGCCTGCGTTAACGAGATATGAAGCACGCGTGGAGAGCACGAAAAAGGGGGTAGGGATGCTTGAGGCGCAAAATAAAATTGGAATGATGGCAGATTTTCCTCCAAAGGCATAAAGCATACCTCAGGTTCATTCATTGTATTGAAAATCTTAATACTTTTGCGTTTATAAGCGAGTGGGTGTGTTCACGTTGTGGTCTTTTCCTAACTGTCGTTAAATGCGTATTTTTTCCTTCAGATCGTTCGAGATGCTTATTCTCAATGCTGTTGTAAAATGTCTAAAGATGATTGTGGAAGAATGCAGTTATTATTACGTAAGTTTACTCTGTTTTCCGTATCATTAAAATGAAATACAAATGTGTCATTGAAGTGCGCTTTTGAAGAGTGTAAAAATTATGATCTGTAAACCATACACAATATTTCTTTTCCCTTCATTCGGGGTTCGTGTCACTGCGTAAGATGGTGAATACGCTTCACATCTTAAGCGTTGTTCTAGTGGTTTTTCGTATCCGGAAGTTAACAGCCTCTAGCTTAGAACCCATAATAGTATTTAGCATACACAGTAGAGTTGAAATTAGGATACATCCGCGTCAGATAATTGACTGACGCATCAGCAGTAAACCAGTCGCATTGAATGTCTCGTGTGATTGAAGCCAGAATTGGTATGTGATGTTCTTGGTTTTTTTATGCAGAGAAATATGGTATTACCCCTGAGAGATCTCATTCCAGCTCGCCAGTGGAAACCATGGTTATTGAAGCGGCTAGGCAGCTCCCGCTGTACTTCAGTAGATTTTTCGTTGTTAAGGTAAGCTATCGCAGCTCAAGTCATTTCTGGAGTCCCTTATAATGTCACCCAATAAGTTGGTTTTTATTCTGCTCAATCAAGAGAAAATTAATCAGAAGTTGGAGTGTGAAATCGTTGAAGATGGTTACAAATCCGTTTTCAGTCTTTGAGTAGAAACTTTAACTTTGGTGTAAACCTTTAAATTTTAAATATCCAATAATTAAAATAAATAAAAAGGAAAGTACAGAAAAATCTTCACGTTGTTCTCGTTGGATATTTATGAGACATTGGTTTCACTGTAGTTTTATTTTCTTAAGTCAAAGAAATCATGCTGACACAGTTTCTGTTACTGGTGGTCGAAAACCACTACAATCATGCAATTAGTTTATGAAACCGCACGAAAAACCTTTTGAAATACCGTAAATTCTCTATTTAGCCTCTCTCCCCCCCTTTTTTCAGGGGAAGAAAGTTAAGAAGCCCTCCCCCAATTATTCTTCACTAATAAATGATAGACTGTATTAATCAATCACTGATACCAGAGGATTTACGTTTCGTGCTTTTTTTCTTCCGCTATTAACTCAGGGTCAGAATGACATCCCAGACGTACATTACCTTGCTGTTTCTGAACATGGTGTGAAATTGGTGAAAAGAGACAAGATAACAGACGAACTGGAAATCTTAAGAGAGATACCGTAAGAGCTTAACGTGTGCGCTACTACTTATGAAGGAAGAAAATCTGTGAACCAGAAGACTGTGTAGCAAGCTTTTAAGTGCGAATTCATTGAGGAATTTGGAACGAAAAAAATGGGGAATGGGAAGGGATAGAAAAGAAAATCTCTCCCCCTTCCTTCTATTTTTTCCTTTTTGTTCCAACTTTCTCAGCGCGAACTTGAACGGAAACGCTTGGTACGCAGGCTAGTATAGTAAACTGGTTGCGGTCATTACTCAATACTCTTGGAAAGTACTCTCGGCAACATAAGCCAGTTATTCAACAAAACGCGGCGATATTAGCTGAGTTGGTAAAGCGCTGGTCTCTAGAGCAGGAGTCTCCGCAGCCGGACCAGTACTCGGAGTCTTCATAACCTAGTATAATCGGCTTGACTTTCGTGTGACTCGGATAAGCGTGTACAGTAGGCGAATCTGTCCTAAGCATTGACCGTATCTACCGATGACGTTACGACGTTTACTAAAGTAGCTGTGATGTTTTCTTGGAAACTTCTGTCATACGTAAAATCCGATCACTCCGTTATCACGGTTTGTCTGGCCTGCGTGGCTCGTTTTGATTAGTTATTAGACTTAATGTAAAACACTGCTAACAATGCTTTGTGCTGTAGTCATAATGATCTCATTCTAGCAACTAGTAGCGGATTTGGTGAATTCGTTATAAGTCACTCCAAATTCCCAGTGATTTTTGCTTAAAGTTCTGGTGGCGTTTTCTTGCAAATTAAGTACTTTTAACAAGCAAATTCTATTTTTTCTTTAAAATTTTATGCTGTGAAAAGTTTGTTTCATTGGAAACAGACTTAATTTGACAATTTTGTAAATCTGTTTTCTTAATGGATATTTCATTCACTTCGTGTGTCATTAATTGTAGGTACATGGAGCTGGTAAAGTTAAAGGCTGTAAAAGACAAAGTGACTTTCACATTAACAAGGGATGTTAAAGTTGTTCTTCAAGCTGACAGGGTTAGTTTGACAAAATTGTTTCTATTGACAGTCAGTTTTTCTGTTTTCCGTCCGTTGTTAAAGGTGGTCCCTTGTGTTGTCTGCTAATTGAAAGCCACTTTTTTAGGCTGCAGAGATCAAGCAGATTGTTGATACGTACTTGCGACATTTAGAAGAGGTAATTTAACATTGTTCTTTCTTTATTTTTTATTTATCATTCTGCATTCTTGACACTGATTTCTTTGCAGATTTCCACGTTCAAACATACGCACGTTAGCTTCGTGTTACGTATACTTATTAAGGAAAAAACGTCTCGAATACAATATTATTCTCGATTGAAGAGCTGGAAATATTGACAAACTCAAAAACGGACGCTTGTAAATTACTGTGACGATAAGCATGTAAGGCATCATGATTACTCCTAACGTGAAGCGAAATTCAGCGTTAATTTATAATTTCGCATGACAAATTGCAAAATTATCATGGCAGCGTTCCGTATATCTGAATACCAAGATGGCGTCCACGTTTAAACAGTTTACGAATGAAAGAGGTCAGATGACTAAAAAACACTTGATATAAACCGAAACACAGCAAAGAACACAACAGGTATTAAGTCCAATCATTTAGAAAATTGTGAACTTTGAAGAACTTCGTCAAAATGGATCCTTTCAACTAATCTCACTCGTCTCAATAATATATGATTACACAAACGTTGAGTGAAATCCTTAAAACCACTCCGCTGACCACCGAACTCAATCTGTTTACTACAGGAAGTGAAGTACGTACGAGCTTTGTATGATCACGTGTCACCCGAACCTTCACTGCTTAACTTCAAGAAAGGTGACGTCATCAAGATTGTTCGTAAGGACGATCTAAAGGAAGGCTGGGTATTCGGGATCTTTAACAACCATGGCGGATATTTTCCTGATGACTATGTTACTCACATTCAAGAGGTAGAATGCGTTATTTTTTAATCCCTTTAAGCCCCAATAGTGATTAAAACCAAGTTTCTCCTTGTAATTTTAATACGTGGTCAATCAGGAGGTTCATGAAAATCAAATATATGGTATATGATCTCCCACGATATTTTTACCATACTCACATTCAAGAGGTAGAATGCGTTATTTTTTTGTCCCTTTAAGCTACAATAGTCATTAAAACCAAGTTTCTCCTTGTAATTTTAATGCGTAGTCAATCAGGAGGTTCATGAAAATCAAATATATGGTATATGATCTCCCACGATATTTTTACCATATTTTATCATGTTCTCCTCACTACTTTTATGACAAACGTTAAGGAAAAGAAAGGGGAATTTATATTTTAATATTGGATTATTACAGGGTTGAAAAGATTGCGGGTTGATCATTTCAAAATGTTTCAAAACGTTCCCTGGCTAAAAATATTAAAAATTCAAACTTTCGACCACCTGAACTGCGGTCTGCAACGTGTCTTCAACAGAACTGGGTGGTCAGCGGAGTGTTTTCGCCCGTTGAAGATTGTAAATCGGGTGGTTGAAAGCTTGTATTTTTTAACATACTGAGCCGGAGAACGTTTTTTCAACATTTTAATTACAGGGTTATATGTTTGTCCACCGAGTCAAAGATCTAAAACCATGTTGATATCACGTTTGCGACTAAAGAATTAAAGTCGACGAGATGTCGCACAAACAGCCAAAAAATATGCATTGCAGTATTCTTTACAACGGTCATGGGTTTTCATGAGCGCATGCAAGTCATGGAATTAAACGCCTTTGCGTTGATCAAGTGGTTTGAATGTAAGAAAGAACGCATTGTGCAGTGAGGTTCATAGTGTTATTTACACACTGTTGACTTCAAAACTGGAAAACGTAAAATATAGCTGTTAAAGATTTACAGTGGATAACTTAAATCCAAACTCTGGTACCACGTTTCTCCTTTTGAATTTAAAGGGGCTTTATCATGCCATTTGCATTATTTTTAAAAAGCTAAAACGTGTCCTCGCATCATCAAAAATAATGGTAAAGTTGTGTTATTTGAGACTATATTTAGGCATCGAAATTGTTTCCTGTTAGACTACGAGCAGTCTCTCTTTTTTCTGTAGTCCGTCGAGCAACACGCGAGTCACGCAAATGGCCACGTGCGTGACTGAAGGCGCAAGACGGGAGAGGCACGAAAAAAGAGTCTCAAACTCTTCTCGGGCTGCCGCGCGCGTGCACTGCTCTCACTAAATCTAAAGAAAAAGAGAGACTGGTCGCTGTCTATTTCCTGTCATCTGTTGCTGCGGATGGCAAGGATGGACATGGATTGAAACTTGAAAAAGTTGGCCTAACGTTTTCAAGTTTGAATACTTTGCCTACAAAAATCACCAAAAAGGTATTGTGGTTACTGCTCCCTAATGAAATTTGTTTCATATCTTCTTCATAACTCTAACTATAGAAGCATTTTGTGAATGGGTCAGAAGGCACCAAGTAATGACTCCAGTACAGAATTGACCTTAGTTCTCGTGACATTGCCACTTTAAGCCTTAGGTGGCATCATAAGCACTGATCTCAAGTTTGACAAGCGAACTATTTCTTTCTGTATTACTTTAGGATCCGCAAGCTGTACGACCCAGCACCCTGATGAGGAAAGCTGCTTCCGTAGGAAGTCTGCATAACCTTGATCCCAATACACCGTTTCCAGGCGAGTCGCGCAGTCGCACAGGAAGTATCAAGTCTAATAGGTCTGACAAATCGGACGATGCTTCCGGTAATCACTCTATGATGGAGTTTGCCATGAAATTCTTCAGATTTGGAAGGTAAATACTATTTCACTACTATGTCACGTTTCTTTTAAAAAAAAATTGGTAACGTTTTCTTCACTTAGTCTCCCCGACCCGTGTTATTGGGGAACTTTAAGGGACCTTGCGATCCGAAACGGCGGCCCCAATGAAAACGATAAGCCGGCGTTGTCAAAAAACTCCACTCCGGGGAGCCCGATACGCCGTTTACGTGGGAACGGACGGCTGAAACGGAGAGAAAAATCTCCGTTTCTAAAATATCCGGGTACGTGTGGACAGTGCGACCTACATTTGTCATGTTAAGAAATGAATCCTCCAGTGCGCTAATTCACGGCAGTTGTAGATTCCGCCGGCTTTAGTTTGCTTCATCTCGTTGATTAAAATCTGTAATACTGAATTTATGTTCCAAAGGATGTTCAGTTAAATGCTGGTTTGTAAATATTGTTTACGCAGAGAAGCTGTTGTGAGAGGCGAAGATGGTACTATCCGTGGTACTGTGAAAGTCAAAGGAACTTTGGGCCGTTCAGCCAAATGTACGTACCTAAAAGATCTGATTATTGCTCGTGAAGAATGCTACTTAACAGTGTTTCTATTGACTGTTAATTTATCTCTGTTTCTTTTATTCGCCCAAACAGCAACGCAAAAAAGGGAGAAGTCTGCTGGATGGACATGGGGCGGATTAGCCGAACTAGTCAAGTTTAGCAGAGTGAGTTTATTATCATTGTCATTATCGTTAAGTCATGCATTTGTAGCATGCTTTGTCTCGAATGTTGTTTGTGACTCTTGTGATTATGAGGTTGCTGAAACCATATTTAATAAAGTGGAATGGTTAGGAAGTCCGTGAGACTCTAGACTACGAGTAGTCCCCCATTTTTCCTTAGAGATAGTAGAGCGAGCGAAACGCGAACGCGCTTGAAATTCACCCCACGCGAGAAAAGGCGACACGCCGCGTGTCGCCTATCCCTGAGGAAAAATGGGGGACTACTCGTAGTCTAGTGAGAGTCCTTTGTGGGCTGACGGCGCATTCTTATCATTCAAAACTTGTTGAACAAAAGAAACATCGCACTAATTTATTCCGTCACTCACTAACTCTGCTGAAACACAGCAAAGGGCAAACCGCTGACATTTTGCTTATTATTCTTTTCCAGATCCCTCTCCAAGCTTCACTTTTGATGTTTGAATCCCCTCAGTTGAACAAATATTCTGTTGAAACGTTTCAACGTAAGTTATATGCTGGTAGATATATATATAGTTAGTGCTGTAGGGCTTTCAAGGAGTGTGGAAATTCAAGTGCACCTCGTCGAAGAGAAGGAATAAGATATTTATTCCCAATGAAACTGTTAGCTACATTCTCGAGGTAGTGCAATGGGTATACATTCTGGTTTTAGTATGTTGAATAACGGATATAAAAGGCAATCATCGTCGGTTACTTCTTCTAAGAGCGCCCAGCATTACTTCGAGGTCACAAGACATTTTAAAACTGTTTCCCGCCAAACGTTTCTTAGCGCGCGGTAACATTGGAAAGTGTGCACCTTGAGAGGGTAGTAGTGCATTGCATCGGACAACATTTCACACCTCTGCGTGCGTGAGGGAGCGGGAAGACGTCGCATCTCGATGTGCTGTCAATTTAATAAAACTATTACAAGTGCAGCTGTTGTTTTCAGACTCTAAAACAATGACTAGACTTGTATGTTGCACTTGTTAAAGTTTTATTAAATTGACCCCTGGCTTCTTTTTTACGCACACGCGTGACTTGTCACGATGTCCAGGTTAACGGACTTATAAACCAGTTCTCCTTCTATTTTCAGTGATCATGAAGTTCATGGGTGACTTGCCTTTGTCCAAACAACAGAAAGATACTGATATAGTGTTCACTTTGTTGAAGGTAAGCTTAATGCTGTTTTCTTGTTTATAGCTTGTCTGCGTTCTTTTAATTCCTCTATCCTTTACTTAAGGACTTCTAATTTTTCTTTAATTTTTCATCAATCTTCTTGGTTTATAGATGTGCCGTGAAATTCCTGATTTGAGCGACGAGGTTTATTGTCAACTGGTAAAGCAAGTGACAAGTAATAAAAGTCCAAAATCGTAAGTTTTCCAGTGATTTATCGTTATGTTTTAGTGCGGCTCTTCAGAGTCATGTTGTGACTTTTTGCCTCGGCATGGTCTCAGCATATCGCAACTTTCTGTCAACAAGAGTTCAATGGTTTTCAACAAGCCAAAACTGCAATCCGTATTAATTGACCTCTTTTTTGTCCATCCGTGCCTTCGTTTGTGTTTGCTGTGATATGTAAATGTTCCTTCACTGCTTTCATGGGTTTTTCTTTATATCACCAAGAGAGACAATTGGATTGAGAGAGAAACGCTCAGTCTATCCCTCGGGATATGTGAATTTCACCAAAGGTATTTTTAGGCCTATTTTACGCTTGAAATTAATGGGAAGTTGGTTTCCGGAGAGGTCCGCAAACTTTAATTCAGTGTTGTCAAGAGAGAATTATAGGACATTATCCTCACTTGGTGTGTCGCCATTACAATATTCTGCATGGTTTTCTTTGAGGCAGTCGCGCGTAGCCTTGTTGACATTTCAAACGATTAAACTGTGTAGACTTTCTGAGGAATTAGACTTCAGTTAAATTACAGCGTCTAAGAATAACTTTATTGAAATTCACATATCCCGGCTAATGCCCTAGGATTCCCTTTCTTGCTCGTTTTTCTCTCTTGGTATCACCCTATTTGGTGGCAAGTTCTTGGCTAAATTATGTGACATCGTGTCTCCTTTAACTGTGAATTCGTTTTGGATGTCATTGTAGCGACAGTGCAAGTCGTGGCTGGCGGCTTCTGATCATTATCACCGCTTACATCAAGTGCACAGAGAGATTTGAACCCTACTTGGTTAAGTTCTTACAGACCACTGCTGGAGACCCTAAGAGAGAGTTCCATGGTAAGTGTTACCCCTCTTGAATTACGCAGTTGTAACTCAACTTGACGTGAATGACTGCCTTGATTCTATGAAGCTCGGCACTTAAGGTGCGGTCAGCAAGCATCAAATTCATATTTAAAATAATTATGCTTAGCCAGAAAGGGTTGGAGTGATCAGAAATAAGGGCATGATCACTCTCAGTTGAGTTCAATTGACATTTTTAACAATGGTTATTTCCCTAAGGACGTCAGAGCCTTATGAGAGGAGAATAAGGGTTTTGATCAGTGAGAACTCGAGGGATCACCAGCACTTTTTTAAGTCAAGGGGAGCAGCATCGTCCAATTGACGAGGTTCATATAGCAGTCTACGATTTAAGGTCCGCATGATTTCACTAGACAAAGGAAGGGTTAAAAACAAATGATACAATGAAATAATGGTGTCTTGTTTTGAGGCGCATTTTTTTTTACGTTTAAGGTGCTGCGGCAGCATGCGAGATGAATCTGATGAAGACTTTCAAGTATGGGGGAAGAAAAACTCCGCCAACTAAAGACGAACTCAGCCAGCTTGTGGTGTGTATTACAGCCTTCAAATTGTTAAGTCACAAAAAACTTGTTCAATTTGTACAACTTTATTGTCCTTCTTTTCCATTGAGACAGAACGTTTTTAGTTTAAGTAATTACACTTTAATGTGAATTTCGAATTTGTTATAACTATTTTTACAAAAAAAAAAAAAAAAAAAAAGGTTTTTGAACATGTGTTCATGTTTCTTCTTACAGCAAGGGCGTCAAACTAAACGGCAAGTTTTCCTTCTCCCTGGATGTAATCGAATGTTGAAGGTTCAGACCAGCTCAGTAAGTTACTTCATTCACGCTTGTTTTGCGGCTAAATGAAATTTAGGCTTAGTTAGACTCGAGAGAATGCCTGCCAGCGGTCTTTACTTTGGTATTAACGGGGGCGGTCCAATAACTTCGCAGGGGTCGTTAGGAATTCTGAAGCTTCTCTGTGGAGGTCATGCTATTACACTCGTGTCGGCTTTACGCTTAATGATATTTATCGATAATTTACGATATTGCTATGGTCTTTTTTTTAGCGAGGCATCTCAGTATAGTATAATCATTATCTCTAGAATATAAAGGTTAGCTGATCTGACAGACTGGATAGCACATCAAAAAATACCATTGAGAAGTGGTCGTACATGAAGGTTTCGACTGTCCACATTCTGTCTTGCAGCTAAAAGTTTAGAACCATAATAAAATTCAAACTATGATAGTGAAAGGTGCAGTTCAATCTTTTTTTTTCAGACTGGTTATGATATTATTAAGGAGATTTGTGGCGACATGGATCTGACGTCTGAAAGCCATTACAAAGAATACGGCTTGTTCACCTACATTGAAGCACGTAAGTTACCAAAGGTCGAAAGCAGACCAAAACGGAATGAAAAACACTGGAATCACTCAGCTGGTGTTGCAGTTCAAAGTTGTGTTTGGTTTGAAAATTTACAAACCAGTTTGTACCCTTTGTTTTCTTTGTTTCAAATTGTGTTAACGGTTCTGTGACGAGGGAAAATACTGAAGGCCTATATTTTCAAACTAAAGAAAAATTTGAAGCCTGCTTAAAATGAGCCTGAATAAAATAGGTTTATTTTTGAAGTAGTCTCATGTTTAAAAACTGTGTTTTTTCGGGTGTTTTTGTTTAGTTTTCCCTTAAAGATCCTCATGAACTCGAACGCGCTTTCGTTTTCCTAGGTTGTCACGTTTTCCCTTCCCTTGTAGGAATGGAGGCTCAACTTAACAGGGATTGACTGCCATTTTTCTCTCTTTTTCTGAATAGAAAATGTAATGGTCGCCATTCAGACGACGGATTACATTATGGACGTAGTGAGCTCCATGGAGAGACAGGGAATCAAGTTCACTTTGTGTTTCCGCCGCGTCTTGTGGCTGCAGGGCCTGAGGCTTGACAACGAATTGCTGGTCAACGTCGTCTACTTTCAGGTAAATCCCGTCAAACTGGTTTTATTACAGGCAGACCATTCTATTCGTATGGCCACAAATCTGAGCACCAATTATCTAAAGTGCATTTACAGAGGAAATGCAGATGAACATTACGGCGGTTCCAATTTGCTCCAGAATACATTTGAATGGAAATGTTACGAGATAAGTCCAAATGAAATGTTAACTTAGTCGCGCCAGTGTCATATTATTTCGCCGTCGTGGAAGGAGTAAATTTCCGCATCACCGAATTTCAGCAAATTTCACTGAAGCCAGACATTCACTGATTTAAAGGTTTCTCGAAATAACTCTGAATATGGGGTTACAGTTGCATGTCTCGACAAAAAGCTATAAATTGTAGTAACTTATAAAACCCCCTGTAATGTGCTCTTGTTTGGTTGCTCTAACGACAAATAAATAATAAATCAAGGTTTTTGAACCCTTTTAAATAAGTGCTTCATCAGCCTCGTTTTCCCGGTCCTCACTGCACATCAGGGATCCTTAACTTATTTTCCCCTCGATTTCTGGCCAGCGTGCTCCGCGTTTACGCTCTATCGTGGTCTCTAATTACGCTAAATACCTCTGAGAGTTGTTATTTAAGCTCTACCCTCATGTTTCCTATTTTTACAAGTGGGTGTGTTATCTGTATACAGGTGCTGCCGGATTACATGGCGGGATATTTACTGGCAACTCATGCTCGATCATTTAACGATCCTCAGGTAAACCCAGCTGAAGAGCATTTCTGTTTTAGTTATTTTCATTTGAAATAAAGGGTTTTCTCTGCCTCCCCCTCCTCCGGCGCTTCGTATTTGCATAGAGGCGAGCGCGAAACGCGAGAGACTCGTGTCGAGGCGCAATGGACCGTGGGAAGGAAAAAGAAGAGAGGTGAAGCGCCGTCTCGCCCGGCGTCTCCTTCCCGCCTTCCTTTGCGCGCAAATTTTTCATCCAGAGAGGGAGACGTCTGGGTGCGAAGAAGGGGTTGCCTCGTTTCTTTCCGTTCGTCTTCGATGTATTTCACATATCTAATTTGGTTATGTCCATTCCACTCTTCCTTTTATCCTTCAGTTTGCCTGGCCTTGACAAATGCTTTTATTTTATTTCAGTTTCAGAATCAGATTGCAGAACTTGGTGCTCTTCAATACCGAGCTCGTGATGAGGCAGTTCTCCCAGCAAATCTGTATGTCCCAGTTCGTCTATTTATAGAACGATATCCCCGTGACTTAATAATGAAATTCCAATGCGCCCTCTAAAAATGGGCAAAAGGTCAAAACGTCATCCTTTGAACCCTTACGGTAGTTTTTATTTTACTTTATTTGCCACACAATGATTAAAAAAAACAGAGGAAAAGAGAGAAAAAAAAGAGAATTGGCGAGGACACCTAACAGAAACTATAGGAGCTTATGAGAGGTTAGGCCTCCTCGAACATTCATTTTCTCGTAACAATATCAGAACATAATCAAGAGTAAAGGAGAATTAATAGAATGATCACTTTAGGGAAAATTATTTGATCTTTTACCAAATTCTCTTAACTGGTTCTTGAAAGAAGTGTATGGAGATAAGTCTGGAGAATTTGTATGTTGCTATTGGGGTTTATCGTACCACCCTCTCAACATCGCGCCGGTTAAATTAGGCGCGATCTGTAGTCACCGAACTTATTTAGGCTCTGCTTTTCTATTTAGTTCTGAAGTGGAGCATCTGATTCCAAGAGGAATGAATGACAAGTTACGAGCTCAACAGTGGATGATACTCATACAAGATCACTATCGCAGCTGTGTTTCATTCTCCCCCCATCAGGCACGCCGAAAGTTTCTTGGTAAGAACTTTGCACAATCGGTCCCATTAATTGAAGCACCTGTAAACACCCGTGTACGACCACTTTCCCGGTTCTTCTTGTATTGTCATCAATGTTAAAGGTTTTAGGTTTGACACCTACTATGTGTAGGTGAAGAGAGCCTTTCAAACCATACCCAAATTAGGGCGATTCAGTCAAACAGTCTTCGCAGGCTAAAAAAAATGGAAGAAAGGTGAAACAGAAGGAGAGAAGAGAAAGTGAAAGGTGTAACTCGGTGGACGGTGTCACTAAATGGTTGTCCTATAACATCAATGTGCCGTTCCTATACTGCTCTCTTGATTGCTGATAGTCTTACTCTGTCTTGCAGAAACTGTAACCAGGTGGCCTTACTTTGGGTCAACCTTTTTTGAAGTAAAGGTGAGTCTTGGATTAGGTCACTAACATGTCATTCGGGAATGAGTTGTAGACTGCGAGCAGTCTCGCTTTTCCTTCAGATTTAGTGAGGGGAGTGCAATCACGCGCGAGCGACGAAGACGCGAGAAGCGAGGATGGCCGCGTTTTTCGCGCGAGGGACTAAGAGAGAGGAGACTGCTCGTAGTCTAAATGTATTGTACAGTTCTTGAGCATGTTTTTGTTAGGTTGCTCAATCTCGTTTTTACATGGAGAGAGAGAATAAGCCTTTCCCTGTACGAATCTCAACCACCACATGTGTGGGAAGCAGCATGACCGAGTTACTACGGTCGTGGGTTCCAGGGGCCCGTTTCTCGAAAGTCCCGATAATGAACGGGCCCGGTAAGCTGTTGCCGTTTACATTAAAGATCGAGGTTTCAATAGTTTTGCATCTAGCATGATAAAACTATCAGTTAGTGAAACAAAATGGAGTAGTCTGCTAGCCAGGACCCGCGCTCTTATTCTTTATATTTCGATTTGAATATTTGATTTCGGGCCCGAAAAGTTACCGGGACTTTCGAGAAACGGGCCCCAGGCCCGGTGTTCACCGCTAGCTGGATTGGATTGTTTCTCGGTAGTCCTGAGTTCATTTTTTCGGCTACGCTTGTCAAAACCTCACGGTTTTCTTTCTACCTGTAAGATATTCTCATGAAGTGTTAACAGCTTAATACTAGAATACTTAAAACTCAATCACCTGCGAAGACATTTACAACTCAGAACACGATATCATTAAGATATATAGGCTACTGTTACTCAAACTACGTAAAAGCTTATCTACCTGACTGAGCATTCACGTAACTTGTTTGATTGCGTATTAATTTGTTTGTTTGTTTTAGAAATGCAGTAACGCAGCTGTTGGCGGAGACTGTGTTTTAGCAGTCAACAAAACTGGAGTTCACTTTTTGAGTCATGGAACTGTGGTGCGTAATAAAACACTTTGCTTAAATACTCTCTTGATGAACAGAATGTTCTAAGCAATACTTTACATAACAGCAGTGTGCATGTATTTAACCTACTCGTCATCTTTTCTTCCAGCAAACGCTACTGAGCGAACCGTTTGTTAGTATAATTTCTACACGCCTGTTAATCTCGGACAAGAAGAGACAGTTCTTAGATCTGAAAATTGGGAATGTGATGATGCAGAAGGTATCTCGAATGGAGACTTCACAGGTTGGTATTTTATGGCAAGACTGCTTTCAGTCCGCCTTTTCTCTTATACAGCTAATCATTTAAGCAGGTTGTCAGAATTTAGCTGTTGCAGTCGCGACGGTGAAGATAAACCTGTATAGTGCTACGCGACCGCAAAAAGTTATTGTCACGAGTACATCTTTACTGTAGAGTTTCTCCTTTCCCAGAATTCACATTAAGTCCATTCCACACTTCGTTTCACTTCACACGAGTGCTACGTGGCTAGCATTATGTTTACATATGAAAGTAATTAGCCGTTCTTGTAATGTACGCTCACACATTCTGGTTAAAAACTCTCTTCCAGGCCAAAGAAATATCGAACCTGATTTACAAGTACGTTGCCATGTACTCGTCTGCCAAGCAAGAGGGCCAAGGACTTGCAGGGGTGTTGCGAAACAACCAGGAGGCCCAGCGAATGTGAACACCTTCAAATAGTGTGCCTTTATGGTCTTCACTGTCTCAGCTGGTCATCTGACTGCAAACTGTCACAAATCTCGCACTATTATGGTGTCAAGAACCTGAGTACGGCTCGTTTATTTTTGTAACTGGACGTTAGACATTTGTGTTTTTGTGATCCAGGTGATGTCCACTAGAACAGACAGAGGTCTACTTTCTACGTGCATCATAAAGTGAAGCCAATTCCTATAGGAAATTTAATATACATAGTATAACTGTACAAAGAAGACTGCTAGAAATTCGTGCTACCCATTTATTATCAGATATGAATAGTATATAAATTTGTATTGAAATACATGATAGGAAGAGGACTTCGCAGATAACTGTAAAGTCGTCCAGATAGTCATTTGTCGAAATTAAACTCCAACGTTTTATGCCTTGAATTGAACCCTCAAGGTATTATTCATAATTTGTTCATTGATAAGCATATTGTTACATGTTTTTTTGTGCTTGACCACGTATTGTTTTTTGTTGTTTTTGTATTGTCCCATGAAGAAAGAAAGGTAACGTTACTTTTCTGTTTGTATTATCGACGATTTAGTTCAAATAGATGTTTTGTAACATCTTTTTTTGCCCAGCAAGTCGTTTTCAGCTTAAGGGGTCCCTGAGGTATAATGTCCGTCTTCTGTTATCCTGGGTAATACTTTAAGAGTAGTTAACTTAGTTTGTCCTCATTTAATTTAAACTCGCAGAATTTCGAAAATATATCGTCAGTGGTAGTTTTGTCCTCACATGGGGGATGCCATGCAAAACTTTTGATAAATTGGTATGTATTTTGTAAAGTAACTTGAGAAGCAAACGATGTTCGTAGAACATTTGCTAATGGCACTAATCGTCCCAAACACCTACTCTCGTTTTTGTTTTTGCTTTATTAGTTGTTTTCCCTTTTTCTGTGGAATCTCGTTAATTTGTGGTGGAGTACATTAACGTCATAAGTTCATACATGAATAAAACGTGTTGGAATATCTTTTGTTCGACGTAAATCCTTTCAACCGCAAATTAATAAGATTTCGCATTAAAAAGAAATTAATAGAAAAAGAAATGACCGTTTCTCTTCAGATTTCGATTCAAATGATGAATCTGAATGCAAGATGAGAATCTATATCTTAATTTAGTGTAAAAGGAGTATTTCGCGTAGGAAAATGACATTTAAAGAAGCTTATGTTGCTTACTAAATCTTCCGTTAATGGTTAAAAGAATGACATTGACTGAATGGGTAAAAATTGGTATTTTTGATAAAGAATATGAAATAATGTATTGTATAATCCAGAGGGTACTGCTCTACAATTTGACGAATTGTAGTTTGTAGAAATTTTTTCTCGCAAGAGTAAATTATTTTTAATTATTAAGATGTCAACGCGCAACAATTTGTAGTAATAATACGAGACACGAGCACTTGCCAAATGTAGTTTAATGGCAGTTTTGTAGTGTGCAAGGTTAATATGATAGTGTAGAATATATGCAGAAATTACCGCACATAGACGCAATAACAAAGCAGTAGGTTTTGTGTGATGGAAATGCTATAAGTTGAAACTGAATTTTTGAATTTGTTTACGGTTTGTATCCGCACAAGAACATCATATTCCATACGTAGACAATAAAGGAAACTTATATACAGCGTTGTCCTTCATGATTTTAACATATAAGGATCGAATTGAAGCGAGGTGTGGGGTATGATTCTCTCTACCCAGAATGTCATTTGTCGACGAAATAAGCTATAACTCGCCTGTTTATGTGTTTCACCGCAAGTTAGTGATATTCCACCGCAAAATAGATTAATTTCGTCCCTACTATACTACTAGAGTAGGTAAAAATTGCCCCTTACGGGGGCAGTATGGTTAAAAGCATTATTTTTCGTTGATTTCCACCCTTTTTCTTAAATATCTGGCCAAGATTTCATTCAATCAAAAATTGACTCAATTAAGTTACAGTCCTTAATTCAATAATTATTTGTGAATTTTTGGATGATTTTTCGAATGTTTTTAATGTATAAAATTTAGGGTGGCAGATGTTTAAAATTTTGGGAAAATGGGAAAATATTGGATTTGGGGGTTGTTAAAAATTAAAATATGAAGTGAATAATTAGTAGACAATTGCCAGATAGCCCACCACCACAACAAGGTGCCTCTGATCCCATTGGCGGACCCTTTTCTACCCTAATTTATTTCCTTCCCAAATCAACATCATTTCCCCAACAAACCAACCGTAAATGCCCCCTTATACCTATAGACAATTGGTTACCGCAAAGCCGATCGAGTCTTAAGCAACTCAAGCGAAACATAAAATGGCCAACAGCCTGAATTTCAGACGTCTCTCGAGTCGCATACTCCCGAAATGATTAAGAATTATTTAATTAATTAGAAAAACGCCACAATAACAAAGTTGTAACTTGTAAACTAATCCTAAACAATTTGCTGTGGTTTACAGTTTTTGCCATCAAACTTGGTTTGGTACTGAAGCGCATCAACTTTAGTAAAACTAAACTCGTATGTTTGTCTAAAACACAGATACAACTACCTTGATGTTCGGAACGTATCGAGAATTTCTTGATTTTTCCGCTTTTACTCTCACCAGTGATTTTCATCATTCAGAGTACATGTTTAGCCATTCACTTTAAAACATGCTCACGCAATCTGTTTGAGTAATGGTTTGTTGAGTGATTGTCGAGGTAAGAGGTAACATAAAGTAAATTTACTCAAATTATAAACGGTTTATAACACTGAAAGATGTGTGGGTCCCCGATGTTCTCTTGGGATCTCACTATTCAGGGAAAAAAACCTTCAGAAGTTCACTAAAGCTATTTTTTTTTCTTTGTGTAGATTATTAGGTTATTGAAAATAGCTCGAAGAGGACATTACAATGTACGTATGCATTATATCAAGATTATAATCTATAATTCGGGCGTGGTATAAACATTTTATTAGGAATTGAACACCAAGTCCAAGCCTTTAACTCGGGCAAGGACAGATTTGGCTGCAACTTTTAGGGAGGGTGGCGAAAAAACATGGAAATTTGCTAGACTTTCAAGTAACTTTTGCTTGACGTCATTGTCCAGTTGCCAAGACAGGCAAATCAAATAAGGAATAAGATTCTCTGATGCTGCCAACTGTTGGTTCTCTTTGATGGAAAGCATGTGAACCAACGAAAAGATCCCAAGATTCTGTGTCGATTTGGAACCCGGCCACAAGAAGCTCTCTCCTGAACTTGCTTCTACGAAAGGTGGTTTTGTTTCAACAACTTCCATTGATAACAAACATTCAGTTTCATCTTTCCTTGTGTTCTCCCGTGTGTTAGAGTCTTCAGTCCATAGGACGCTTTGAGTAACAAGTTCACCTTGAATATTGTTAAATTCCCACGGCCCACCAACGCACTCTAACGATAGGTCGAAATCCATCTGACAAATTTCAGCTTGTGGTAGTTGGTTCTCACCCGGGGCATCAAGAAAGGCCTCCTGACTTTGCTGAGTTTCCCTCTCTAATTCACAAACTTGGTAAACTTCATTGTCAGTGTCTACATCACTATCACAAGTTTCCTTTAAATTGCCTGCCGCAAAGGCAAGATGAACAAGGGGAACCATTGTCATCCACACAAATGACATTTCTTCTTCCCACTCTGAGATTTCCCTTGGAACATGCTTCTCCAAGAACAAGTCAATAAGTTGGTCTATAGTTGCGCAAATGTCTTTATCGAGCTGAATCAAAGGAGCTGAACGCATTCTCGCAAGGAAAAGGCAGCCATAGTACCTAAGAGAGAAAGGAAAAATGAGATTTTAGAATGCAATAACACTGGGACAAGGGGGGCATGTATTATTTAAAAAGGCTGTGTCTCAGGGATAGAGCGATTTTCGTATGACCTTGAAAAAATGGTTTCGGTAAGTGTTCGTTATTTGTTTTATCAGCCAATGGATGAAAAGATCAAAACATGGCCTCTTCGTTTTCCCGCCAAAGAAAACCCTAATAACGAGAAGGCATTGTTGGATTGGCCAATCGTGTTGCAGGATGACGTCAGAGCGAAGTAACCGTTTATTTCTAGAAAGTTCTTGGGGCATGAAGTTTTTTCACCCGAGCGTTCGCTTAACCAACCAAAAGCCACACGCGTTTGTATCCGTTCGATAAACCAATCAAATCGCTCTATTTCCGTTCGTTTGTTGTTTCTGTTTAGTTGGCGCGCTTTCATTTCAAGGTCATACGAAAATCACTCTACTGCTGTTTTAGGTCAATTCTGTGCTGAAAACATTACTAACAGCCTTTACACATACAAAAAATGCTTCTGAAGAGTTATGAAAAAGGTATCAAACAAATTTAATAAGGGAGCACTACACCAGCCATGATAATTATTTTGGTAATTTCTGCCGGCATAGCATTAAAACTTGCCCATGCCCATCCTTGCTATCCGTAAAAACAGATGACACCAAACAGTTTAAATGCTTAAATATAGTCTTAAATAACAAAACTGGATCACTAGTTTTATCGTTTTTTTTTAAATATAGGAAATGGCATGACATAGCTCATTTAACATTGAGATACTCAAGTCAGGGGGGTTGATACGATTTTAGCCAGAAATTATCTGATTAAGCCTAATTTTACCATCAACGTGGCCTCGAAACCCTGCATTCTGAGAAGACCTAAAAATACAGATTGAGTAACAAGATAAAAGCTGGTTACTTTGTAGAACTGGCCGACCAGTTGTCCGTCAACATCCGCGCAGGAGAACAAAAACCTCAAGCCTTCTTGGAGGGTAAACTTTTGCTATCCTCTTCAAAGCGCCGGTACGTGGAGATCCCCAGACATTTTAACATGGACTGAGCCTTTCACAATCTTCCAGCTGGTCTTGTGCTCGATACACCCATACCGCTGGTTGGACTTGACTACTACTTATAACTACTTAAACTACTCAAAGGCCTGGCGTGGATGGAATACGATCTTACATTCAGGAAAGAAGCTACCGTCTCAGGCATTCTGAATAATCCAAGATGAATTTGGGCGTGTAAAATGTTTCACCTACAATCTGCAGCACCCTCTAAGTACCACCTTCTTCTCCCAGTCCCTCCCTGTTCTCCTTGGGCAGCTAAGAAAATGGCGTACGTGTTACTTCTTTTTTGCCACTCATAAAGGTCAATGCTGGTAGCCGTTTAGCAGATGCAGGTTCCTCCACAAATGTAGCAACTGTGACCAGTAGCACAACCCCTTCCCCCTCCCCTTATGAGAAAATGGGACGCTGCTGAAGGGTGTGAGGCGCCTACTGATGTCATTCTATATATTGCAAATAGTATGGTTGCGTTGCCCAGCCAGCAGCATGGACTGCCTTCTGCAGCTAATTCATTTAGTCAAGTTCCCGCTCTATCTAGTGTTTGAGTGCTCCAGCTAGATTTGGTAAAAAATATGAAATTCAACGGTCGACAAGGCAGACTTTGATGACGAATGCTCCAATGCGTCTTCGTTTGCCCTTGGGTGTAGAAGTTTTACTATAAATCAGAATCTTTTTTAAAGGTCGGTTTCCACTTCGTTTAATAACGCCCAAGGGTGGGCACTCAGTAAAGTTTAATACGGAAATGCTCTACCCCGAGGTCCAACCCCTTACCCTTTTATATACCATTTCTGACAGAAAAGGCACCCCTTTTGTATACCTTACCTTATTTTCTTTCTTTAATTTTTTGTATACCTTCTTATTAACAAGCCTCAACAGCACTACCTCAGTTCTTGCTGCCAGGACGGTCGTGCTGGCAAGGGGGCTCCCTTCCCCCAGCTGTTGAGGAGACCCCAATGCGCTTTGCTATGATGTTTGCTGATGATTTAAACCATTCATCTATCAAGGCATGTCTTTTGGCAGTACGTTCCCTCGACATCAACCGTGGCTTACCAGATCCCTTGGTCAACGGTCTTGTGTTACAGCACTTCCTTTGGGACATTAAACGGGTTCAGAGTCCAGTGTGTCCTAGTCATCTCCCAATCACGACTAAACACTTGAGGGTTATCCAGCGCTCTTTAGACCTGTCTCCTAGAGACCACGTGATGCCGTGGGCCGCCTCTTGTCTGCGAAGTTCACCATGAATTTTGTGTTCCATCCTAGTATCCAATATGAAGGTCACTGGTTTTCAGGCAGATTCACTGGTACATATTTTAAGTTCCCCAGTAAGTGTTCGAAGACAGATCCCTTTCGTGTGGGCTGTGATGTCTACTTAGGACAAGACATAATTGCTGCTTATTCTGCCATGGCATGGGGTAATTTAATATCCCCTCGTAGGTCTGTCTCTGGGCCATTATTGACGTTTGGTGATGGTCGGCCCCTTACCTGGCGGCAGCTGTCATTCATAGGACTTGCAGTCCATCTTACACTTCGCAGGTTTCTCTGGCTCTTATTCAGGTCAAAGCTCCCAGATTGGGGCAGCGTCTGCTGTAGCAGCAGCAGCAAGCTACAAAGTGCCTGATCACCTCAGCAAGACTTTGGGGTCAATGATCTAGTGTTACTTACCAGCTCTACATCCGTACTCCAGTCAGTTTGATTGTTCACGTTTCCAGCCAGTACCTACTGTACCAACGGTACATTTGGATCTTACCTGGAGATGGATGCCTCAGGATGGGCCTCTTAGAACTGTGGCTTAGGTATCTCAAGCCTCCCCTCATTGCTCTGGGTTGCATTGGCCCCAACCCAGAGATCCCTTTGGCATGGCACTGGGGGCTTGTGGCTGGGTTTTGGTATCAGGTGGGCCAGTCAGTCGGGTGTTATAGCACCTTGGGGTTTCATAGCATTTGCAGCCCCCGACTCCCCCTTGGGCACCTCACCTCCACTTGCCACATAGGGGTTAATGTATAATAACACAAGCTAAGATTGCAATCATTTGTTGGATGACTGAGTACGATAAAGGTTTTTCTTAGAGAACTTTTACCTTTAAGGTAGTAACATAAGCCAAGTTTTATTCAACTAAAGAAAGTAACTACAGAGTAGTTAACTGAAAATTCCAACCTTAAAGCTGTATTGCCTCTCTCAGTGACCAGTAGATGTCTTGTGATACTAATCATTTGTGTCAGTGACCCACAAGATGCTAGTGGAGGTGCTGACTTGACATTAAATGTGCAGTAGAACAGAGTGTTAGCTGCCACCTGGCTCGAGAAAAGGGTGTAATCTGGAAGTTCAGACTCACAATCCTCTATCATGATCAGTAACTTCTTAATAAATGGTGTCATCTTGGAGACTTCCTCTTGAGTTGTGGAATCACTTTCAACTAATCTGCAAGAATTAAAAAGTAAAAATAAAAAACCACAGCCAGAACAAACATTGTGATAATTAAAGAGATCTTAAAGATGTTCTAATCACGGGAAGAAAAAATGTTGAGTCCCCCGAACAATTCAAACCTATGACCTTCCAAACACCAGGCAGGCACCCAATTTATCCACTGAGCTACAGAGAGACTCACAGATCTGGAGCAAGGTCATAATACTAGTAGGTTCATGTTTGAAAAGCATACTGTATACAGATACATTTGTAGGATCAGCAATGTTCTGAGCATACTTATTAAAATAATTTCAACACAATATTATTGTGTTGTAGGAATTTATCCTAATCAGCATTCTACATTGGTCAAAACTCGTGACTGGATGTATCAACCTACTACTAGGGGACTGTTTGCTAACAGCAATCTGTTGGCCAAACCAGCATTACATCTGTAAAGCGCTTATGATGATATAAAGAAAATACAGCAAAGAAATAGCTGACTACACACTTAAAATTTACTACCATGTGAATTGAGGATTTCTGAGCAGTAAGGACATTTCTAGCTCGTTCAATTGTGTGGCTGTAACTTTGACTGGTTTTGTAGGTGACCTTCACTTCCCTCATGAGCAAAAAGCATAATAAAGTTCCAAATAATTTGAAGTCAAACGAAATTGGTGCCTGGAATTAAACAGAGGCCCTAAGTCAATTATATCTTCAGTACTTGAATTGCAACATACCCTCCACAGCATCCAATAGCTGTTTCATTTACACCAATTTTCAGGCCATAAATGTCAATACCATATGCAACATCATCGGGTAGCTGTGGATGAAGCAATAGGGCATCTATCGTCAAAGGTAACACACCCTTTGACAGGACAAACTTTCGATCCTCAGGAGTCTCTGCAAAGTTCCATAAGAAGCTCAGACAGCAAAGCTGAAGAGCCAGTTGTGTTTGGTTGTGTCGAATTTTGTGCTGATTTATGATCCCACGTTCATCATCAATAACACTGTTGATTGAATTTACACTCAATATTATAATCATGATTACTCATTCTACGAATTTAGAAACATTCACTATATCATGTTACCTGACTTTATTAACTCTATAATTTCACAATTTTTCAGAGTCCAAGTAAGCAATATTTAAGTGTAATATACAATTTAAGCTTCCAAATCCATCATGATACCTTCCTGTTGTGATCACATTTTTCATGCTTTTACAGGCAATTTATGAGGCACAAATTACGTCCAGGAACAGAAGACAACTTCACTGCCTGTAACTCCCATGATGCATTTTTGGAAAACTTTATTGCAATGTAGAACAGGGGAAGCAGTAGTCATTATGCTAGTTTGTAAATTGGATGGGATACTCTATGGGAAATATGCTCTGAACATGTAGGGCTTGATTTTTCTCAGTATACAGGTTACAGCTTAAAATTAAATAGAGTTCAAGGTGAAATTTGTTAACCCACATAAAGGTTGATTCTCAATTTTCTTTGTGTCCAAGCATGTGATAAAAAATTATTCAAGAATTAGGGGTAGGAGACAAAGAAAATTGAAGATCAACTTAGATTTAAAAATTTTAACCAGAATTTAATTTTGAGCTGTGACATACACAATCTAAAGGCCTTTTTTTCACCCTATCCAACCCCAAACAGACAATTTAATACTCATTATTATTGAGAGGAATTAAAGAGTACAGCTTCCTTCATCTTCAGGAACCCAGTCAGTGGGGAATGGTCAGAACAAAAAGTGGTACTGTTACATTTTCTTTAGTTGTATTCACGAGGCTGAGGAAAAATAATGTGCATAACTTAGATTTAGATTTAGCTTTAAACAACAACACTTCAACTACATTCATTTCTGAGGTCAAAACAGACATCTCTCTTGAAAAAAATCCCCAGTTGTGGGGAGCAATGACAAGAGACTGAATTAACAGGTTTAAATTAAGATCTTAATTAGTGGGTAAAAGACTTTGAAGAACTCACTCATCATCATCCTCAGTGTGATCAACCACATGCAACTGTCTTGAAAATTTTAACACCTCCAAAAATGCATCAAAGCCTCCTTCTTGCACAAAATAGTGTCTCTGTGCAACAGATCGCAAGCTTTTCCATGGGTAGAAAAATTGGGCAAGACCCTCAACTCCATTGACAAGTCTGTCATACAATCTCCATAGGGTATTAGAGGGGTGCTGTTCTATCCTGGGCAATTCTCTTTGGATGTTTTGCACGATTTCTTGAGCAGCACTCTTCAGATCAGTAAGGAATTCACATATACCTGTTATGTCCGCCACAGCAAGAAATTCAAGATGAAAACATTCTCCCTCCCGGAAATACAACCTGCTAAGAAGCATGTCATCGTCTGTTAAGAGTTGGCCATGATAAAAAAGTTTCTGGTCACAAACAGGTGCTTGAATAGCATCTTGAATGGCGTATTTTACATCTCTGATGTTTGTGGTGTTAAGATCGCCCACAGTAATCTTGGTTTTCCCAGATTCTCTGTTATGCTTGCAGCTGTAAAATACTGAGATTTGCATTTTGCCAACTTGCTTTCGAACACAGAATTGGACTTATAAGGTCCCATAAATTTGTTGATGACGTCAAACAGTCAACTTTTGTAATTTCCGGCACTGATAAAGAATTGTAAGCCTTTTTTTCCACAGAGAAAACAGAAATATAAAGAAAAGTTCCTCTTTTCAAGTGGTGATGCAGGGATCCGCCATGTTACATGTAACTCGTTCCCAGTGCCCACTTGAAAGTGAACGAGCGCGGGAGCGCATTCTCGTATTGACGGGTGGATAGCCTGCGTTGCAGCAGGGTACGTTTCATTTTCAGTTGATTTATAATGCGAGAAAAAAAATATACAGTCATTCAATATGTTATACAAATGATAGTTAAAGATTAAAAGTGATGTGAATTAATTAGAGGTATTTTTTCAGGCTAGGAAGCTCAAATTGAAACCGTAGGCCAGGGGCTTATTCCCGGGGAGGGTATCCATTTTAGAGGCGTTTTCTAGAACGGGGTATAATATTTCGAACGCAAGAAAGCTCCAGTTTTGTAAGCAGCTTTAAGGACAGATTGCTTTTAAAAATGCGAGCGTTACCAAGCAAACTGTTGTGGCTCTTGTTGCACCCTGAACGGAGTATTAAAAAATTGGCCCATTTCTAGAACGGGCTATCAGTTTTAGGCGAATTCTAGAACGGGGTATAAAAAGTTGGCCCATTTCTAGAACAGGGCATCAATTTTAGGGGAATTTTTTTTAGAAAGGGGTGCCAATTTGGAGGCCCGGGCGGCACATACCCACCCAAAAAATACCCAAATGCCCCCCGGGGGCTTATTAGTCTCGCTTGCGTCCTAAGGTGCAACGCTTTTTTCACCCCGGGGGGTACTTCCTTATATAGGCTATATAGGTATGTTCGGCGCCAAAGGGTACGGTATGTTTTTTTAGCCGTTTTGGTCTGAATACCCTAGGTACCAGAGGTTTTTCTCGCGTGCGGCGGGAAGTTTCGGTGTTGGCCGAAGGCCGACACGTCTTCGGCCGAAACCGGAAACCGCGCTAGAAGAGTCTCTGGCACCCAGGGTATGGTCTGAAATACTAGGGTATCAACTTCGACCATTTTGGTCTGAAATAGGGTATGGCTTGTGCATGCGCACTCTAGTCTTGAATTGGGTATGTTATTTTTAGAAGAAGCTACATCTTCAGAGTCTTCATCATTTGGCGATAAGACCATTTCCCTTTTTAATAGCCTGAATTTCATCCGATGGCTTCGAGTCGTTTTCTCCTCCAATAATAACGACTCGAAGTAATCGGATGAAATTCAGGCTACCTTTTTTTACGCCAACCGTGACCGTGTACGTGCCGTAACAGCTTGTCACGCACTCCGGTCACGCGCCGGGCTCCAGGGCTTCAGGTCTGACTGAAATAGGGTAAGGGTTTAAGAATTTGCGTGATCGAAGCCACGCTTGTTTTGGGAAGAAACGCTTAGAAAAAATTAAATTTAGAACTTTTACGAAACGTGTCGGTCCACGAATTTTATCGGTTGAAAGCGTTGATTTTTTTGGAACAAGTGAACACTACTGAGTGGTCGAAATAAAGAAAGAATCTTAGTTAGCAAAACTGCGACGCGATGTTCGGGGTGTTGTAAACTTTCATTGTATGCAAATACATCTTGTGATGAGCATGCGATGGATTCATTTTTTCGGCGATGATTGAAACGACGTGCCATGTAAATCACTTTTTTGATTTCTGGCAATGATGTAATTTCTCTGGAATCGAGGCCCTTGAATTTTCGTGTATTTACCAGAGGCACCAAGAGCCATCATGGGAGTTGTACTAACAGTAAGAAAATGGGTACTACCATGATACAACTCAAAATCTTAAACGTCGATAAAACGGCTTCCAAATGGCTCTAGAGGCGAAGAGACAGTAAACAACAAAACACAAATACAAGGTAAGTCATTTTTATTTTTTATTTTTGTCGAAAAATGGAATTTAGGACGTATTTTGTTTATTTTCATACATTCTCTTATAAATTCAAAGTCCAACGAACTCCCACAGAGTTTGGGCTGCCTGTGTTTTTACAGGAAATTCATAAATTGTGTACTAAAACATCGTTAAATTTGGAAGAATTGCTCAGAATGCAACAACCGGAAGGGTCTGGGCGCGTCTGTTGCGGGGGGCGTTTGTTGTGTTGCAGGGTTCGCTGACAGAGCTGAACAAGGTCTGCGCATGTACCGAGACGGGAAATCTAACCTAGTACAAAACGAGAATTTGCTCGAAACTAAAGGTAGATTATTTCATACTTACGTAAAAGCTTCTTTGATCGCACTAAGATTTGTAACTAAGTTTATGAGACTTCTTGTGTCTGATGGTATCATCGCGCTCAAAGCCGGCTTTCTTGCCACCAAGTCAAAAAGAAACGGTCAACAACTGTTAAATTACCCTAATAAAGTAATGTTTAAGTAAATCCATCGAAGAAAAGTCAGAAAAAACAATGAAAACCTTCGCCAGAAAACATTTTCCTTGAAACTGAGGACAGAAGCGACAACCGAAAGGGCTTGGGCGCGTTTGTTGCGGGGGGCGTTTGTTTTGTTGCTGGGTTCAAGGTCCAATGCTAGGTGCAGCTACGAATGCTGGGAAGTGTTTAGATGGCGACTTGCTTTTGATCACGGTGCATTCCATCTATGTGCTCTACTTGTTAAACGTTTCCCTTGCTTTGGTTTATACGAAAGCTAAGCAAGTAGTATTACCGGATACATAAAAAACGGACGGAATGATGTGACTTGAAGGACATCCGAAAGAATGCCATATTTTGATGAAAACTCCGGGTGAAAACTCCACGTTTATGTACGAACATTAGAGGGATCAAGGACGTAGGCCACATGAATCTCAACGTTCAGTTCACTTGCTTGGGTTCAGGTAAAACCGAGATTATAAAAATAACCATTAATGACTTGGATAACATGTCAGTAAAAGAACTGAAAAAGATTTTGGAGGTAGAAATTCAGGTACCTGCATGTGACCAAGCCATCTTTTTCCAAGGGAGGTCGTTAAGTGATAATTCATTCCCTCTTAAAAAGCTATATCTGCGTCAAGGTGATACTGTTTTAGTGGAATGCACAGCTCAGGGCTATCTTTCGGAGATGAAAGATCTTTTGGAAGAGGTTACAAGCTTTGCGGACTCAATAACTTGTCGGGATCAAAGCGATTTGTTGACGGTTTGTTCCAAAAAGGACATGAGCGATTATGTCTCTTACGACAACATTTGTAGAGTTCTAGAACATTTGTCATTCAGTTACTTCATTCCATGGAAGGATACGCAGTCTATTGTACATCGCCATTACTTTGTACAAGAAGGTGCTTTTGATTCTTTTATGGAAGTTCTGAAGTTTGCTAGTAGAAGGTACAGACTGGAAGAGAAACCAAACTCGAGGTATGCTTTATAGTTTTGTTATGTTCTAGTCAATAGCCTATTTTACTATTACAAGTGAAAACGAGGCTGAGGTTGACCTTGTTATGATAAAACCCCGCTTTTTTATGTAAATCATGGTGTTCTTACATGCTAACTAGTATTTTTTAAGGAAATTGTTTATAACAAAAGGAAAGAGGTTTGTATTAAAACAAGGTCAACCTCAGTCTCACATTTATACAAAGGCTAGGTTACTAAGCCCACAACTATAAAATGGTCTGTTCCAAAACATGCCCTCCCCAACCCCTAACCCTAATCTAACCCCTAACTACCACCACCCCCCCCCCTAAAAAAAAGAAATTTTTGTCACAACTCTAAGTCGTGGAAGAATGTTAATCAACCGTAAATTGATACTTAAATAGTACCCAGCTTCAAATAAGCATAAATTTCCTTCAGCCTGAAAGTCAATTATAAAAATAAGCATACCCTTTGAATGATTGCCACAACTCTCCACTCTTTGTTAAATATACAGTTAAGTCCATACAACCCCATTATCTACAATGAATCTAGCATAATAATTTTTTCAGATCCTGAAGATATAGCTCCTCCAAAATTAGTAAGACACTTGCCACTTTTGCAAATATGCCTGAAATACATGTACAGTACACCTTATTTGCCCCACCCCCCCCCCCCCACCAAATTTGGCATGAGTGCTGTTTTCAGTTTCTCTAAGGACAACTGAAGTACCCACAAGAAACTTTTATCATTTAGGGGCAATGCAAAAGTGGTGAATGAGAGTGGCACCTTTGTTTACTCACACATTTGCTGTTGTTTTTCTTTTCTTTTTTCATCATAATGATTGTTGTTATAAACAAAAGTGATGAGAAACAGTTGCCCGGTTAACTACAGTAGGCAGCTGTAATTCACACCATTTGCAAGAGCTTTTAGAGGGTCCTGGAGTTGAGGCCATCTACATGCAAACAAGAAGAGATATTCTGCTTGTACTGCAGCACACCTTTCCCACACACAAGATATAAACAAGATTTTGTTTAAAACCAGGACAATATATTGCTGGAATTCTTGAGTTTCTTTTTATATTCAAATCTCTTTTCAGGAAACACTTTGGAAAATCTAGAGACAAAGAATCAGAAGCACTCAGTGGCCTGCTAAAGGAGTTAAACAATGAACAGATGACGTTACAGATGCACTGTTTGAGTCTGCTGTGGAATTTCTCAGAGACACTACATGATCGTCGGCTTGTGTTACAGAAGGGAGGGCTGCAACTAGTTATCAAGGCCTTACTGCTGGATCCCACTGAATACTGTGTTCCTCTTACTACTGATGAATACTATGAAGTTGCAAGCATTAATGAAACAGCTGTTGGCTGCCTTGTCCAGTAAGATTTCAAGCTTTGCTACTGTAACAAAATTCTGAAATCTGATTGGCTATCAGCTGCTCTGATATGATAACAAAATTCTCCAATCTGATTGGCTATTAACTATCCTGATTTCAGCATTAATAGGATAGTGTAATAGGACAGTACATGTCATTCCTTTAATTGGACAGTATTCGCCATTGCGTGCGCATGCTCAGAATTTTTTGTTTTCATCAGAAAAAAACCTAAAATACAGGGTTCTCAATAGATTTTTAAGTAGGAGGTGATCACTGATAAAGTAGGAGGCTCTTCAGCAAAGCCAGAGGTGTCAAAACAAAGCAAAGAAAAGCGACCTAAACACAAAGTAAGCGGCTATAAATCCCAAAGTAAGCGGCGATCAATCGCCGGGTGCCGCCTTCTATTGAGAACCCTGAAAATATCACGAATTTTGTTATAGTTGAGATTAATTGGTAACAGAACTTCGTGTTGTCCAATTCTGTATGTACCGTATTTATTCGATTAACCGCCCTGGGCGCTTATTAAGTTTTTGGACCTTGAGAGTGGGCACTTATTCAATGAGGGTGCTTATTCGAGGTTGGGCGCTTATTAAATTTTCACCATTTTCAGCAAGTGAAGTATGTTTATTTTGCAACAAAACAATAAATGCTCCTAATAACAAAACGCGAAGAAGTGACAAAGCAAGGTTTCTGTAAAATACTCTGAAGAAAACTCCGTCCTCGGGGAAGTCTCTTATTAGAATTTATTCACTCAAGTGGGTGGAATGGGGGTGAGCGCTTAATTGAAGGAGGGGTGGGCACTTGTTCAAGGCTGGGCGCTTATTAACTTTTTCTGCCGTTAGGATGGGTGCTTATTCGAGGTGGGCGCTTAATTCAAGGTTGGGCACTTATTCAAATAAATACGGTAATCATACTCATCAAATCAGACTCCCGCTACATGGTTGTGCAATTTTGTTAATCACTCATATGATTACAGACCAAATTGGACTCCACTCAGTCCTAAATTACCATGGTTATTAATAGGAAAGTGTGCATCATGCCTAATTAATTGGATGGAACACGCCATTGCGTTGGAATTTGAATATACTTATTGTACCCGTGAATATACAAATCGGATTTCAGCTTCTGGGTCATCTGATTTTGTTCATCACTCGTTTGATTACAGACCAAAGTAGACTCCACTCAGTCCTATTACCATTTAGCCATTTTCAGATTAGTTTTGTCACTTTTTACCAGTATCTAAAGTATTTGTGAAGGTTTTGGTTTACCTTTTGTAAATTGTTTTTGTTGTTGTCAGTTCTTCAAAAGATACAGAAAGGCTGAATATTTTAGCTTCTAGACATCATAAAGGCAAATTTATTTGTCCACTAACCCGTAAGTTTGTAGACAAAATCCTATGGTATTACCATTGCAACGAATCCTATTTCCGAAGGCTTTTGCAATGTGCATTTAATTTTTAACAGGATTTTACAAAAAGAAATCTGATTTTTATTTTGTGGAAGTGTTAATATCATACATGTAACGTTCTGTTAGTCCCATTCATGCAAATATTAATAGCGAACTTACATTATATTTTGATCTTACAGGTATGCTGAATTTCCTGATTGCCAGGAGATTGTTTCCAGCAGCCCTGACACTGTTGGTAAACTCATGTTTATGGTTGGGAGTCAATTCCAATTTCATCAAAAGACTGGACCAATCATTGAGACATACAACAAGTACCCAGCACAGATTGCTGCAAACACATTATTCTGCTGTGCATGCAGTTTAAAAACTCCAAAGATTTTAGTGGAGAATGATATGCACAAAAGAATGATCAACCTGATGAGATTTATGCCTCACGATGAGTTGGCTTTCAGGTAAATGATGATTTAATTAGAAAATAAACAAAACACTATGTCCACTAGGGGGGCTGTTTCTGGATAGTCCCGGTAACTTTTTGAACCCAAAGTCCAACATTCAAACAGATAAAGAGAGGGGGGTAAATGGGCACACCTAACCTCACCTCAGGTTTGTTGGTCATATTTTGAATGATCTTTCAAGCTACATGCACATGTGTACCGAAGTCAATTAAGGACACTTTACCCTTAACCTTCACTTACACTAGACAAGAGACGTTGAATTTACATGAAAACTTCTCCTCTGGTAAACTTTCTTGTTTTTGGGTCCCTACAACTCTTTTTCTTAGAGTACAGCGTTGCTTTGTGTCATTTAATGTAGAGTTTATTAACCCTTTAAGCCCTAAGAGTGATCAGCATCAAATTTCTCCTCGTAACATCAATGCTTTGTTAAACAGAGTGACATGAGAATTACGGACGTGATCACACAAGATGAATTGGCGTGATATTTTATCAGCTTCTCCCCGTTACTTCTGTAGGAAATGAATAGGGGCTTAAAATGAGAATTCAAATTTTGATCTTCGGGTTTAAGGGGTTAATTTTATTCATTCATTTTTTAACTTTCATAGCTACTACTGTACCCTGTTTCTGGCAAGAATTAGAGCGTCAGCTTTGGTTCAGTTGGATCCACATGAAGGAAAAAGCGTGGATGACATAATTGCCTCTTTTCTAGCAACGAAGAAACCAACAGATATATCACGATGGGAGGAGAATCACAATTATGTATGGATAAGCATGATACCTTTTGTTAGCTTAGGCTTCTCAGGTTTGCAAATCCAAAAGGAAAAAGATTCATCAGGTGTAAGTTATGCCTTGAATTCTGGCAATGAATGTGCCAATGACAACAGCTGCTCTGAGGAGCATGATCCATCCTTTGGGATGGCATGTCTAGACAAATTTGATGGTCCAAGTATGGTTTCTACCAACCAGAATAGTATTCTAAAGAAAAATGCTATGGAGAGTGCTGATATAGAAAGATATAAAAATTCCTGCAACATTAATGTGCCAGAGAAGAGACAAGAAACTATGCTCGGATCTACACAAACTCAAAAGCTTGGCCTATTTACTTTGCAGCATATGTTGTACTCTAAGGGAAATCGACAGCTTATTGAAAATGAGCATTTGCTGTCATTTCTGGACTGTCTGTGTTGGCATGTGAATCCTGCAGATGGTGGATTGTTAAATGCAGAATTAAGGAAATATTGGCCTCCAAAACCACCTTCTCTTTCAGTGATATGCAAGTCCAGCTTATCATTTATTTATGGCTTTGAAACTGCTTTAAAAATGTGACAACTGTATCACAGAAAGTGGATTGAACAGAAGTGAAACTTTTATAGAGTCTTACAAAGTTTGCCATAAGTCACAAATATTTGAATGATCTTATTGATTCTTTCAATCTTCAGACAGGGTAAGATTCAAATCGTCATTCAAAAATCTTTCAGTTTGAGGCATAAAAATCAAATTAGACTTTTTCTTATTGAGCAATTTTAAATCATAATTATTTTAATTATTAGGATAATTTGAAATATAATTGTTTTTTTTATTATTATTTTCTTTCACGTGATAACTTGCTCTTGGGGCCGGGATTTCTCCTGGCTACTTTCATCGGAAAGTAAAAGAAAAATAAAACCAAACGAAATCCCTAGATGTTTGATTCCAACTGTATTTGGAACTTTGAAGTCATGATATAATGGCTCATATTTTTGTCACATCATCACTTTAGGACAATGATGGCTAAACCAATCAGAGCTCTAGAAAAATTGCATTATCCAATGAAGTTTTTCAAAATATTTCGTTTTTTAATAAAACCTAGTATACTACTTTTTTCAAATATTCTATTAATTATTCTGCTCATCTCATCAACAAGCGCGAAGTTTTAATAAAAACTATCAAACTATACAATGTAAATTCAGGTTTTTTGGGAGTGTTATAATGGCTCATATACCATGATGTACATAAAAATAATTTTGATTCAGTTTTAATAAAACCTATTTCTTTTTTGGTATTCTATTAATGTGTGTAAACTATAAATGTAAATTCAAAAAAATAAAGAAAAGTTTTTCTTACTTCTACTGTTCTTAATTTACTTCTTTTTATTTTTTGCATTTTACTTAACTTTATTGTGTCAAAAAATGCAGCTACTATTTAACAATAATTTTCAATGTACAAAATTCTAAGAGTAAAAGTAAAAATAAATTGACTTACAGCATAAAATTATGTTACATAAAAATGGTCAATAAATTAAAAAGAAGCTACTAATAAACCTATCTAAGCCAGGTGATTATATCAAATTTGGCATAGCCTCTGTAGCAGGAGCATGGGACATTAAAGATGCATATAAGAATGGCGAGAGGGGGAGTAAACCTCTCTCCTTGTATCCTACTCTCTCTTACATGTACATCAAGGTGCATCACTTATCTAATATCCCATATTCCTTACATGAGTGCCCTCGATTCATAAAACCCCTTAAACAGAGTCTGTTGACATAGTATGAACTTTCTTATTATCATTGCCTGTTTTCCTTACATAAAATACAACAATCATCTGGACCCTTTTCATCCAGTGTATTGTTTTCTTATGTTTATGACAGGACCACTAGACCTCATTTTGGAGTCAAAGATTAATTTGAAGTTTGCACAAGCTGACCAAGCTCAGGTGGAGTGTGGGGGCTGATCATGATAAGCGTGAATATGAAAGTCAGAAACGGTCTACTGCAGCTATGCAATTTCCAGAACAATAGGTTGGAGTTACTCTCCCATAGTAGGCTCCAAAGGAAAAGTCATTCCATGCTTGATTCTCTTAATCAAATACAGCTTGTCACGACCAGCCTGCAAAAAGACAAACAGCTCTGTTTCAAGTGTTGCAAATAATTTATTTATTTACTAGAAATACATTATCAGGAAAATCTTGCAAAGCTGTTAAGGGGTCAGCAGTGAGAATAAAGGGAAACAAGCCAAAGGAAAAAATATGAACAAATAAAAGCTAAAACTAAACAGAAAAAAATGTCCAAAAAAAAACCGGGAGGAGTCGTTTCTCTTCAGCTCCAACTTAGGCCTGGCTCCATCCTAAATTCCCTTCTTTTAAGTAACTGAACCCCTTGGAGTAATCGTGAAAAAAAAGAAAGGATGCGAAGTCTATTTTTCAGCGACGTTTTCATGAACATTGCCATTGTCGGATCGTATAGTAAGGTCCCTTATTATAAACACGCTCTGTAGGCCTTAAGTTATAACTTTGCATTATAACGAAATTATATGTGCCACAGCCCATTTAAAGAGTGTTGCCATTAATAAGTAGGCCTTCTTCAAGGGAAGTTATTTATAATTCCCATTTGGCCAGTGATATTAATTTTGGCAACAGTTCTTATCTAACGAGTACTCACCATTGCAATCTGTTCTTTTAACAGTTTGATCTTCTTTTCATTGGAATCCTTCAGCATCTTCTGATAGTAGACAACAATTCTGTGAATGAATAAATCCGTGTTAACTTTATTCTTACATCAAAAGGGCGTATAAAAAAGAGTTTATCACAATACCGTAAATGACCTAATAAATATCCAGGAGTCTATTTCATTTTAGGAGTCTAAGCCGGGGCCTTTAAAAGATAGCAGGCATTCAAAAGAGAGAGGCGACTATTTTCATAACTGTAACACGCTCAACTTAATATGCTTTCAGCGAAAATATCAAGAGAGTTCAGTTTATTAAAAAATGCGGGATATCCAAAGATCCATATCGCTCCTTCAGCTCCAACATAGACTGCTTGCAGTCCGCCTTTTCTCTTAAAATCCGTCTAGTTCTCAACTTCGCCACTAGCATGCTTGGGTTTCTCTTGCAGTAACTTTGCAAAGAAAAATAGAGACTGCTCGCAGTCTAGCTCCATCGATGTCAGAATTCTCGCTCAGGGTTATCGTGTTGCCATCGCTAGGTCTATCCACACTTTAAACTTGGCATTGAACAAGATGAAGTGCGCAAAGCCTTGTTAATCAAGCAAGACACTGAATGAACTGAATGATTTTGGTCCTTTTTGTAGCCTGTGTACAGCCGCCCCTCCCCTCAAAAAAATCGGATTTTTTTTTGAGGGGAGGGGCGGCTGTACACAGGCTATCCTTTTTGCTAATTCCTACTATTTTGGGGTAATTCTCATAGGGAACGTCTATTAGGCAGGAGGCATATACTACAGAGGGTGGTCTAATACAATAAATTTTAACAACGTTGGATAAGAGGCGTTTATTTGGAAGTCCGGGCATTTTTTCGGTAATCTTAATCTCACAAATGGCTTATCAACATAACATCGCAGTTTTTTTTTACTTTCCAGACATAAAGCATTAAAATTTAATACCAAGTTAACAAGAACTATTATATTCAATCTGATCATCTGCCACCTTCCACCACAGGAGTAGAGGGTATAGCTTAAGAGCTGAGCATTTCTTCTTTCTGTTACTCACCCGAGAATACAAAACAGCATGGTGATAAAGCTTGCCGATGACGCATAACTGATAACTTGTTGCAACCAGTCTGGAAATGCGTCTACTGTTTCTTCAATAACTTGATACATGAACTGCTTTCCTCTGCAGAATGGAAAATTAATAGTTTCTTAGTTCATTCATAACTACTACCTGATGATGTGAAACAATAATTAGTAAATCAGAATTTTATTTGACTAATTAAGGGCCTCGATCTTTACACGGAGGTGGGGGACTCCAAATAGGTCAGGTAACATGCGGCGGGTCGCCCCACCTATCATGTAAACGTGATCAAATGAAAATGAGAGATTATATGGACAGGCGGGTTATCCCACCTAAGCAGGTTACCTCACCTACCTGGGGTCCCCCACCTCCATGTACACAGGCCCTAAACAAGCTCAAGTAATTTGAGCAAATCTCAGTCAATGCAATGGCTGTCTACTCATAACTTTCACAAGTGTGAATCGAAAGCACATGTATCCCTCCTATACTGTGACTATTTTGTGCTAACATGTACCTATCAAACATGAAACTTGTAATCATTGCAGCCAATCATGATTAATTTTGTCACCTTTTAATGAGATCAATGCATATTTTTAACAATTACCGTTATTATGAACTCAACATTTGAATAGTACTACTCAAACAATTAAAATTCTTTATCACTGACAAGGACAAAGCCTTCCAAGGGCCTTCATTATTCAAACCAAGCTACAGCCCGTTCTTTAATAATTTTTTAATATAGCTATCAAAACCTAATAATGCACGAAGTTTTAATAGAAGGAACTTACTTGAATGGACCACAAAGTGGTGAAGGAGAGGTCCTGTCAAAAGGCAAAGTTTAGAATGATCAGTACACAACCAGTACTTAAAAACACGAATTTAACCCCTAAAGGAGACCAATCTGGGCGTGGCTTAAGCAAATTTTGACCCCTAAAAGAGACCGCTTTAAAATATACAAATACGACATGCAATGAGTTTTAATGATATAAAGACATAACAAACAAAGTTAAAAAGAAAATCCACCCTAAACAAGACCTTGGCGGCAAAATATCAGCGCTTTTAAAATTTTTTAATGCAAGTCCTGAAACTGCTGGTTTCTTTTTCTTTGAATTAAATTTTCACAATCATTTATTTTTATTTTTTGGGATTTACTGCACAAGAACCAAGTTTTCCCCATTTTTGAGAACACACAGTCATCAAGGTCTTTAACTACTTAATATCATTCACTCAAAATATTTGTTCCTTTCTGATTGGTGCAAATCATTCGCTTTATTATTGGTATTTGAACCAGGTACTATTGACCCTAAAATTTGGAAGATGTTGGCTGAACAATAAAGTCGAAATAAAATAATTGTCTTCATAATCAACAGTAAAACTGACAGATAGGGGAACAGTTGTTTAGCTGTTTTAGCAGAGTAGAGCTGGAGAAAATGGCAGATTAAGATACACAATGCTTGCAAAGAATATTTCCAGAATAAACACCCCTTTCATTCCCTGAAACTGCTGACCAAGAGGCAAAGTTAATGTAACGAAGGATGAAGAAACTTAACACAGATCCAGGTAAGCATGTTTTGAGTAGAATTATTTGGAAGGAATTAAGAAAACAATTTAGTGGATTCAGCTAGCTTTCTCAAAGGCTGGTATACCCTCCTTGGTCTGCATAATTCTCAATCACTATCATACAATTTTAAGCTGCATCAAGTGTTGCTTATTACAAAGTATTTAACCAAGTGATCAAAAGGCTTTTAAAAAACTGCATCGACATCCAAGTCTCAACTGTCAGCCTTTTCTGTCTAAGACAGGTAGCTTTTCTTCATATTATTATCCCTCAATTTTAAAGATTTTTAAGCTGTAGTAGACATGGGTCTTTGACTTGAAAACCTACCGTTGTCCCAGCCTCCTACTCCCTACCACACCTTACTCCTGAGTCAACAATATTGACAATAATTATTATTACTCACACATCTTCTGACATAATGGTATATCCTATGACAATCAGTGATAAAACAAAGGACACAGCAAGTAAAAACAGGAACAACAAGTTCATCTTGGATGCCCTGAATGGCCTCATGGATGGACGGCAGTTCATGACTACACTAGTCTGTAAAAAGCAGGGTATAGTATAGGCTTCATCATTATCTTTATTATAATCATTTATCATCATTTTTATTATTTAATTATTTTCAATTATAGGCACATTGAATGATTCTTTGCATTGTAAACGTGGACAGCCAATAATACTACACAGTTAGAAAGGGGAGGCTGTGACAGCTGTCCTGGTAGCCTCCTACCCGTTTAAATCCTGGTTTATCCAAAATGGACTGTCTTCAACGACAAGCTCTGTCTTGACACTCATTTTTTTCCTGTAATACCCAAATTACCTAGTATGTTAATAATACTTGCAGGGGTAACACTATAAAGCCACTCCATTTGAACACTCCATAGTCTTGTGTTCCCTTCTAATATTGTGATATTCTACACTTTTGTCATCTCTCTGTCCTTGCTCATGATGCTTACGTGACACTTAGCATAGATAGCCTTCCTGGGTCAACTAAGCATCAATTTGTTATTAAATAAACATCTCTTTACTTTCATTTGAAATCCATAATCAAATAAATTATTTGATGATACAGTTGAACCTCCTGTAAGCGACCACTTAAAATACAATCGAAGAATAACTGATTTAGTAATTGCCTACAGGATGTGGAGAACCAATCCACAGGGGGTGTTGTCTGAAAAGAGGTCCTGACACATCTACTTTTTGAAAAGAACCCATGCAACCTCTAAGTTACAGTATGTGTAGTTCAGTGAAAGTTCTTTATATTCTGTGAGTGGCATAGTACATATCTAGTGACATGCATGACACAGTGATCAGACTATGTAGCAAGTGGCCTCGTACAAGGGGTTAAAAACTATATTTAAGTAAATTATTAAACCATCAGCACAAAGAGTGGTCGAAGTCACTTATGGGAGGCAGTAGTTTATGAAAGATTCTAGGGCTTGAAAGATTATAGGGCTTTGACTGGCCATATGTTGGTGTTTTGGATGTGTGGTCACACATGGAGCTCAGTGATTTTGTTACCTCTGTGTCCTGTGTCCCTGATGTAATAAAATCCCCAAAGACACAAAACAAATCATGGCATATGTCCCATAGAACGCAAAAATTTTGGTAGAATATCCTGTTCATGTCATTTCTGTTGCTTGAAGATGCATATTTCTTTCAGTCTTTATTGTGCTTTATAGAAGGACTACGTTTTAATTTCAGTAAACTGTAATGAAGAGTTTTGGCATCTGTCTCTAGATTAACTGTCTGGTTACATAAATGCCCCAGCATTTTCAATTTAGGACTCCTTGGTTTTTTTTGAACTGGGATTCATTGGTTATGGACAGGGACTTACGATTTTCACAAGATGAGTCCCAGAACTCACCATAACTATTTGTACCAAAATCAGTGGACGTTCGACTGCATGTGAATTTATAAAAGTGCACATACCCTCTTTACATAAAACAAAATCCACAGCTTTATAACTTGAATGAGTGGTAATAAAGGACTGTAGAATGTACCAATCCTGCAGAAGAAAATTAATATAAATCAGTACTCAGAGGCCGACACTAAAACTAGCAAAATTAGCTGTATTTTAAGTATGTGTATTTTGAATGCTGTTGATAAATTTTATCACTATTTGTATGAACATTATTAACTTTCTTGAATTATGTACACTTCACATATTTTAAATTTTAATATCAGGTTGTGCTTAATTATCAGAATTTGTAAAAAATGACCAGGAAAAATAAAAGTACAAGTAATGGAAATTTTTTGGGAAAATAGATATTTCCCTAAAAAATTCTTCAAACTGAACAATTGGCAAAACAAGTAAATGATTCAATGAACAATTTACTAAGCACTTCCAATCACATGCCCAACAACTTCTTACATGTACGCTTGGCTCACAGTGGGCTATTTGTAGCTTCCAGTTACATGACCATATTTTTTTGAAGGCTGTTGCTTAGGTTTCAAATTGGCAGGTATGTCAAGGGAATTGAACAGTTTAGAAGTTCTTCTGGAATAAATTGTTTGTTAAAATAATCCCTCACTTATTTTGCAAATTTGCTATCAAATAATGATTTAGAGGTAGCACATCCAAGAAGTGGTTCTTTGTCTACCTGATTCCTGGCTGAATTGGAATTTGGAAATGTTGGTTTTTGAGGAGAGGGGAAAAGCGGAAGACCCAGAGAAAAACCTTTTGGAGCAAAGGAGGGAACCAACAACAAACAAACTGAACCACATATATGATTAAAAAATTAATAAAAAAAAAAATTAATATGGATTATTCTGAAAAGCTTACCAGCACAGACACTGGGAATATATCAGGTCAATAACATTTCTGGAAATATCAAAACCAGGAGGACCGACTGTTTCCTTGCACCAACGAATATTTACTGCCAGAATTCTAGAATAAATCAGACCAAACTGTTATGAGCAATCCTGATATTAATTATTATATATTTATCAAAAAAGGAATCTCTGAGTACAGGCTTACCAATCTTAAATAGAGAAAGGAAAGTAATGATAGGTTAAGGTGAACATTGAACATTCAACCCTTAGCTTCCACTCCTAATAGTCAAGCTAATGTAAAAAATGCACAAAATTAATTTGAAGTCAAAATTTCTTTTTGTATTTCTTAGACATTAATAGCAGAATAAAAAAAGTTTGCCAAGATTAAAACCGAGTGGCAAATAATGATAGGTAAATTTTAATTATTTCCAATTATAATCCTTCTAATCCTTATAGTGGATAATGCCAAAAAAATTCCAAAAAAGTCCAAATTTCCAGCTATAAGTAAAATCTTTAGAAATAAATAGAACATTAAAAAGGTCTGTCAATTAAAAGAGGCTAAGTTTCATTTGAATGGTTGTATACCGGGATTTCACTCACCTATATTGTCCAGAAAAGGGTGTATGACAGTGTTAGTTCAAATACAATTAAATATTACAAAATTAATAGAAGTTCACACCTTCGCACAAATTCACCAAAGAAAGTTGACAACAGAAGGAAGGCAAAGTCCACAATGATAAGTCTGTAGAATGCAAATCCGACATAATTCTCCCAGCACTGAATGATATCCTTGGTACCAAAAGATATTTTGTTTGCAATTATTAGAAAAGTGAAGAACTTTTAGCAGAATAAGTATGACAGTCATGAAAACAATACCTAATAAACTGATCATTAATGTGAAAATTGTTAGTATACATGTCTTCATATACCATAGGACTTACATCACTATTAAATACTGAGCAAGCCACAAAAAAAAAATAGGACACTGCTAAGAATCAAATAAAATATGGAATTCAGTAGTGAAAAAACAAATATTATCATTTTGATTCCTTACTCCATCACATGTCCTCCCAGAGCCCAATAGCTTTAAGCCACTACGACATCTCTGGATGTCAATAAAGAGTAGCACTGTTACCATGGTCACTGTTGTTAACATCATTAAAGTGGTTCTGCAGTAAGGACAATAATATAAAGTGATTATTATTATTTTTATTACTATTATTAAAAAGAAGTGACTTTATAAAACATTTAGCTATTTAAAAAATTGCATAACTTAGACTTTTCTTAAAAACATTTTAGGACATTTTAAAAAAGTTTACAAATATACAATGTTTCGATGTTTTCAGAGGTCATTATCAAGTAAAAAAACACAGTGTGAATGTCCTATATTAATACCAGAAAAACAATAGTTAAATTTTTCTTAAAATGTTTTAAGAAAAGTTTTTATGCAATTCTTATAGCTAAATATTTTTATTATTACTATGATTATGACAGGGCTTCTGATATTTCGCGCAGTCACGGACCCGCAAAATCCCGCGAAATTCCCCAAAAAACGCGAAATACTGCAAAATCCGCCGGAAATATTTCCAAATACATGTCGGCAAAACATATTTAATACTTATCATGGCCATTAGACCTCTTTTATTCACCCAAAACGTCCAAATTTATCTTGAAACTTCATCACTGCAACGAGTAAACAACGTCCCAAAACTACCAGGAGTTCTTAGATTAATGTTGCGAAAAACTGGGCACTAACCATAATGTTAATAGCTTTTCTCAAGCGAACTGTTGTTGAAAGAGCAAATGATTATCCCTGTTAAAAAAAACAACGTTAAACAACGCTGGTCATATCGACGCAAAATTGAGTGATTTTAGCGAAATTCGCCAAAAAAAATCCAGCGAAATCGGCTGTTTTTTATTGATTGTTTCTTGGCGAAGTTTCCCCCCGAAATTTCCCGTCAAATCGGCCGATTTTTCTAAGAATTTGCCCCCGAAAATCCCTGGAAATTTGACTTTTTTTAGCTAAAATCCCGCGAAATCGGCCGATTTTTCTGCAAATTTTGACTTTTTTCCCGCGAAATCGGCTGATTTTTCCGCGAATTTGCCCCTGGAAATCCCGTGAAATTTGCTTTTTTTTCCGCGAAATATCAGAAGCCCTGTTATGATTATGACTATGATTATTACTATTATTATGACATATCAAGTCTGTAAAATTTATCCTCTTACAGTCTATGCTTAATTCAACAATCTCAAGACGTTATAACCTTTTCACACTGGAGGTTGGCAAGTTCTTTTTCTGCTTTTTTTTTTTTTTAACAAAATGAGGTTCATACACAATAACAAAACAGAAATAAAGGATTGATCTTAATTATGGTTGAAACAATTTTTTTTAGCAAGACAAAGCGGGTGATACCAAGGGAGGAGGCAAGATGGGAATATCAGGAAGGCAAGAAGCAGGCCAACCTCCCTAAGCCCAAACCCCAAGGCATAACCACTTTTTTTAACCCTTTAAGCCCCAATATACACATACAAATTCTCCAAACTGATCTCTATACATTTCCTTCATAAATAAGTTGAGAGAATTTGATAAAAGATCAAAGCATTTTCCCTTAGGTGATCATTTTATTAATTCTCATAACCTAATCTCTTGACATTGTATGGATATCGTTAGGAGAAAATTGACGTTAGACACTATTGGGACTTAACGGGTTAAAAGAAAAAAGAATTTTCATACTCCCTGGGATAAGCTTTGCACCTGAATATCAGTAAAATAACCTGAGGTGGGATTAAAAAATAAGGCAAATATCCTACCCACGGCTCATCAAAAAACCAAAACTGCTCAAAATCTGTTGGTACTTATTTTATATCTTGTTTACCACTTACCTTGCCAAATTGACATTAATCGTAGTGCGAGGACTTCTGTATCTTTCCAAACTTGCAATAATGCGAAAGGCCATTGGCATAATAAGGTTAATACCTGACACCACCAAAGGGAGGAGTAATTTTTCTAGCACATCATCTTGGTCCTGGTGATAGAAAAAATCACACACACACACGCACACACATTCACAAGCACGTTAGAGATTTGCTCCACTGATGGAGAGTTTGACATCAGTGTGCAAAGAAAGTGTTGTCTGATACAGGGTTAATTCTCAATAGAAGGCGGCACCCAGCGATTGATTGCCGCTTACTTTGGGATTTATAGCCGCTTACTTTGTGTTTAAATCGCTTTTCTTTGCTTTGTTTTGACACCTCTGGCTTTGCTGAAGAGCCTCCTACTTTATCAGTGATCACCTCCTACTTAAAAATCTATTGCGAACCCTGCTGATAACCCAGGGCTGGTAAATTTGGGTAGCAGGCTAGAGAATTCTGTTCTTAACTTGCCCAATGGGAACAGTTAATTTGGGGGGCGGGGGCAGGCAATTAAAATTGCAGAAGATTACTGTAATTAATTCTATCTGTCAGGATCAATATATTTTTTTTCATTTTTTTTTTTCAGGCCAGCTGGAATGATTCTTATTGGGCTTAAGTAAATGCTAGCTACAGCTTGCCTGAAGGGTAAGCTATAAAACTCACTTTCTTAATCTTTGCGCTCTGGACATTAAATCAAGAGTCATTTGGAGCCATTTTCCACACACCCCTCCAATTAGATGGCTATCGACTTTACATTCATGAACAGTGTAGCCATAAAACATGCAGTATGACAGTAATTTGAACTTTATAAAAAATTTTCATGATTTTACATATAATTTATTTTTTGGATGCTTTTCATACGTACCGTTGAAAGTGAAAGACTTGCAGAGAACTGAATGAGATAAGCAGCTCCAGCCATAAGTGCAATGACAATAAAATTGGTGAGAAATCGAAGCCAGAATAGGTTACACTTCTCACTCAGAGTACGCTCATAATTGTAACTCTGTTCAGCAAGTGCCTCCTACAGAAAGACAAAGTACATTTACCAAATAGATATATTGTATTTAATAGTAGGTAGGGGAAGCAACCCAAAGGTGACGGCAGGGAAAATGCCCCTTATAGTGCATTTCCTTTCTGAAAAACCTTATCATGATTATTCCGACTTGTTCAATTTGTGAAAAACAGTTGAATGCTTAGGGAGACAATTAAATTTCAGGCCCCAGTTTTTCAAAAGGTGGATAGCGCCAACCATCAAATAAATCTCAATCCCCTGGATTTTTATTGGTTAATTTCCTACTTATCCACTGGATAGTGATTTATCCGGTGGATAGTGCTATCCATCTTTTGAACAACCGGGGCCTCCATGGGGAAAAGCAATGCTGTTGTGTTTAACAAAGTGGATGTCCTGACACATACAAAATGGCGACCCATACAGTGGATAACATCTTTCAGCACTTGAACAGGAATGATTGAAGAGTCCAACTTGAACTTACATTTAATGGGCAAACAAGTCTTTCGTTCTATTGCTGAAAATTTTTCCCACTTGTTTACTTTGAGGTCATGTGACAGCTAACAATGAAACTTTTTCCTGCCAAAATCTCTGAGCGAGCAATATTGCAAAATCTATGATGTCAGGGTAACAGCTAAGTGCACTGTTACCCACCAATGTTGACTGACGCCCACCATTACAGCAAGGTTTAATGAATTTCCAGCTACAAGATTTCCAGCTATGTAACAAATCACTTAAAGACTGGTCCCTCGGAAAAAAGTTAATTTTCTTCCCAAGAATCTCAATGTTTCCCAAGGCAGAGCCAAGGGAAACAAAATTAACTGTTTCCCTCATCATTAAGTGTTTAATACAGTACCATGTAACTACAAACCTGCAGTTCATTGAATACACTCTTGTGTTTTAATAATCCTGCACTCTTGTCCATAATTCCATAATCCCAGGAACAAAAGACCTTTGAACTAAAGAAACTGAACTCATCTCCTGAATAGATGTAGTTCTCTCGGTAGGAATTTGCCATACTGAAAATACAATTTTCATATATAACTCTTTTAACTATGATGTTCATACTTTTCATCTTATTCTGCTAAACAAAGCCCAAACTACCAAAAATGCAGTTACATGCATGACGTACAGTATCTTGAACATCTAATAATAAAATATTAATAGTTAATGTCAGTGTGTCATGCTGTCTGCTTGTCTTTTAACCTGTCTGTCTCCTGTCACATGTCAATATTAAACTAAATGGAAATTGTCAAGCTGGTACTAATTACCAAAATTACTATACAGTCGACTCTCTCTTAAGGGACACCTCTATAAGACGGACACCTCTGTAAAACGGACACTTAGAGTTGGTCCCTACCTTTCTTTACCCCCCGGGCTTTAATTGACTCTCTATAAGACGGACACCTCTGTAAAACAGACACTTAGAGTTGGTCCCTACCTTTCTTTACCCCCTTTAATTGACTCTCTATAAGACGGACACCTCTGTAAAACGGACACTTAGAGTTGTCCCTGCCTTTCTTTACTCCCTTTTTTTGACTCTCTATAAGACAGACATCTCTCTAAGACAGACCCTTAGTGCTGGTCCCAAAGGTGTCCATCTTGGAGAGAGTTGACTGTATGACCATATATACAATTTAGAGGTAGATTGATCATAAATGCACCAGCCCTATATTAAACTATAAAATAATGTTGCGGTCAATCCCATCTCAGTTTAGCTGTATTTTTAGTCTTCATATACCACATACTGTACCTGTATACAAGCATGATTAAGCATAGCAGAAGATAACCACCACCCACGAGCAGATATGCCAAAGGCATGTTGTACTGTGGATTGTCCTCATCACCAATCTTTTCATTTGTGTAGGCTCCATAGTAAAGCTCAGATTTGCTAAACCAACCCTAGTTTATTAAACAACAACCACAAACTGTTACTCTTATGCTTATTAAAGTGACTACTAATAGTGGACCATAAGGAAATTTGGTAACCTTTTGAAGGATGGTCATGCATGTGACTTTTTAAGCCATCCATCTGCCCACTCTACTCTCATGATTTAATGAGGAAAATGTCTAAAAAGTCATTCCTGACACTGAAAGAGCTTAAAATCTTCAAAGTATATTTAATAAAGATCCTTTGATTACTGGTTCACCCCACAGTAACATTAAATTAAATTATTTTGGCTGAAAATTAAAATTAAAAATAGCATTCATTAAAGTGACCCCCTTTTAACAAGATTCATGTTGAAACTGTTCTTTGAACATTTTCACGTTTTCTGGGAAAAAAATGATACCATACACTGTGCAATAAAAGCTAATGGCTGCAAGGCCTAATCTTCCAGGAAAAGAGAGGACTTTTGTTATTACTTCATGGTGTGAATTTACACAGTTGAATGATTTCAAACCATGCATATCCAACTGAATAACCAACAATTTTATCATCTATAAAAAAATACATCATCTCTTCCTGTGAAAGGCACTGCAAAGAACATACAATAATAAAAATTATAAATATTTATACCTCTCCTGTTAATAACTCCCAGCCTGTAAAGGAAGCATTGTTGTCACTCACACTTATGTCATGGATGGCTTGAGGTATGAACAGGAAAAAGATTGTCAACAGCAGTATCACAATGTTAAGTAAAAATAACCAGCGAAGTAACACAAAATATGAAAGAACTCCGGATCCAAACATTCCTGTTGAAAGAAATCACAACACATATTAAATATTGTAATCATCAAAACTATCATTTTCATTACAAAAAACAATGCTAAGGAAAAATCTCACTGACCAAAAAAGGTCGCTCAAAAATTGCTGAATAATTCTTGCATGCAGGCCTGTTTTAATTTGTAATGGCAGAGCACAATATAAGAGGATAAAGTGAAAAAATATCCGCATTTTCATGAAAACAAGCCCACAGTTTCTGAAAATGTCAACTTTGCTGGGAGTGCTGGATACTCTGAAGAAGCGAGGATATTTATCACCAAAAAAAGATTTGGAAAAACGATCTGACATTGATGTGGAAATTAGCACTGATTTTACTATTACTTTAAAAACCTGAGCATCAACAACTGGACAAAAAATATTACTTTCAATTATCTCCTAATATTTATAATCCTTTTCTACTATACAGCTTCTTCTTACTACAGATCGTTTAAAATGGATAGCTGAGTGGCTATTAATTTTTTGGATCATATATAATTTGGGCACCAGCAGGGGTATTTTGCAAAACACTGAACACCGAATGCAGAACGCCAAATGACTCTGTGTTTAGCGATAATTCTCAGGGTTATAAGGAAACTGAGTAAATCAGGTTCCATTTAGGGTCATTAAACTTGGAAAATGGACCTGAAACTTGATACACTCTATTTCCTAACCCTAATCACTAAACTCCAGAGTCATTCAGCATTTGGCAGAATGCTGAATGCAGAATGCCAAATGACTCTGAAGGTTATAGTGATTAGTGTTAGGAAACTGAGTGAATCAGGTTCCATTTACGGTCATTCAAACTGGGAAAACTGATCTGAAACTTGATTCACTCCATTTGCTAACCCTAATCACAAAACTTCAGAGTCGTTTAGCATTCTGCATTCAGTGTTCGGCGTTCTGCAATATACCCCTGTCATTTGGGCACCCCTCGGCTGAGTATATGTTGGTTGTCTATCACTTGACATGATGACCAACTAATGGGTCAACATGTAGACCGACACTCGACCACGTGTCACACAAGACTAGTCAACATCCAGTTAACACAGCAAGTGTCAGCAGAATATTGGTCGACTGTCAGTGGCATGACAGTCGACTGTTGTATAAAGTGATTTGTGTTACTCAGAACTCACATGTATCAAACAGTAGCTCACAGAAACTTATAACAAAGCCAACCACTTAAGAAATCTATTTTTTTGCAGAAAAAAGACACTCAGTGCAATCATGCTCTCTCATTAGACTGGCCAAAGCTGCCATAAAGTCCCTTAAAAATTGCTGCCTGGACAACGGACTCAAAAAAATTTGGACTGACATGCAGAAAATATAACTCCAGATGAAGAGTCCACCAGGTATCAGTAAAGTATCATCCAAATGTTGGTGGCCTATAGATCGACATGACAGCTGACATACCAACCATCACTAATGGCTGATTATTGGTTGACAGTCATTTCCGCCAACTCTTGGTCGACTATCAGTTGACATATTGGCCAACATGTTAGCTGACACTTGCATGACTGATGTTCACCGACAAATCACCTGATAGCCAACCTTCATGTTGAGTGAAATGTCAGCCATCATGTCGATTAAGTATCAGCCAATACTGTTAACTAATACTCAGCCGAGGGGTGCCCAAATTACACAGGATAAAATTCTTCACCCTTTGATCTATCCATTATACTAGAAAGTATATAAAATGGTCAAAGATTTTTTAAAAAAAATACACTGTAGAGTGAAGTAATAGGATAACACTGCAGATCTGTCTTCGAAATAACAATTAATGCCCATAAGTTATTTATCTTACAACCCATGAAGGCTTCCGCAATTTGTCAAAGACTAGCTGCAGACTCACCGTGGATTAATTTGAGGTGACTTCTCCACAATTCCAAAGAATATAAAATTTCTCTTGATCCATCCTTAAAATGCTGCCAGCCCTGATAATAATACAGGTTTGTCAGATGAACAGTAAAATAATTATGATGCATGAAAGTATTGAAAGTGGCATAACAAAGAACACAGAAAATTTTAAATCAAAAGTGCAGAGACATTGTACTTTATGAAATGCCTCACTTAAATAGAAGGGCCGGTATGCCTAACAAAGCCAACATGGGCAGATTTAGGGGTGGGCCGATGGGACCCAGGCTGCCCCCTTTCCTTTAAAATTTTGTATTATTTTCATAGAATTCAGTCTCGGCCACCCCTTTTTGAATACTCTAGATCCGCCCCTGGCCAAGGACTTCTACTGGTGAAGGACTACTATAACTATAAATCATTTTGACTGTGCTGCTGGTACAATAATAGATTGTACCTTTCCAAAGAAAATGGGAGGGAGGTCTCTATTTAAAGGGTGAAGGAAGCCATCCTTATTTTGCTATATATTCAGCACTGCAATAAGAACCCTTTATGTTATAATGTGTCACATTAACTATCTCAGTCACAGTACATACCATAGCAATTGAGAACTTGAACTGTGTCCAAGCACTTATTTTTTTGTGAGGCCCTCTTTGCACTGCTGACTCAGCAACATTCTCTCTGCACACAAATGAGTATGTTACATATTTAAAAAAGCTGAGCTAAAGACTATTAAGTAACTAACAAATCAGCTTCCATTATTTATGTTAACCAACAACATACACTGAAGAGTTACATGAATAAATTAAAGCTCTTTGCCACAAAGTAGGGTGCAAGGCTGTTGGAAAACTGACCTTAGGGTTGACGTTCAAGTTATCTGCACACCTGATGGAAGAAGGGTCAATTCTTGCCAAAACAATAACTATGTATTATTTTTATAATATTGTCCCTTCCTAATGGGGAATTATTTCTTTAGAGAACAGCGGCAGAACTAAAACTTGCTGGAATCATGCTGAAACGGCCAAAAATGCAAAGAGCACACCAAAAATTTAAACAAGGAGAAGACATAAGAACTTCTGATGTGTTTTTATTACTATTTTTGAACCCTAATAATATGACAGCTAAAATCCCCATACACACCCTTAACGATTCTCACTCATGAGCTGGAGTTACCTATGACTTTTCCAAATGCATCCACCTGAGGACGAAAACAGGTTACAAGCTTTTGTTACATGTACCTTATGTCTCGCTTTCGCCTGATTGATGTTGGCATTTCTTTCAGAGACTTTCTCCTGTTTGTGAGCTCTGCAAACTCCTCTGCTGTGAGGTTTGTTGGCACATCACGCAGCACATCATCTTCATAGTCATAAACACTTGAACCATCTGAGACATCTGCTCCACCATCGTAAGAATGGCTTCTGATAGAACCCCGTGATTTACGAACCCGCTGTTTCAGCGTTCTCCTCATCCCTTGCTTAAATGCATTTGCAGATGGAAGACCTCTCATGGAGCGAAACTGATGACTAGGCATGCTTTTTTCAAATGCCTCATCATCATTCCAATAGTCTTCATCGTCACTGTCTCCAGCAGTTGCACCTCCTTGTGGCTGAACATGGACCATGCTTGAAGCATTACTACGATATGTTTCAGTAGATGCCATTGATTCCTGAGATGGTATTCTCAAAAGTTTGCTTCTTCTTTCATCAGGAACTTTCAACACAAAAACAGGCATTAATTTGTGCAAGCCATCAACAGTGATTACCCAATGGTCTCCTTATACAGGTACTCATGCTCATGTGTATGCTAAGCAAAACCTGATCTCACATGGTTTCAAAGCACTGATGGTTTTTTTGTGTGTGTGTGTCCAGCAAAAAACATCTTATGTTTAGCTAGGAACTACACTGTGGTATTAAGTACACTGTATAGGTAACCAACACACTATTTTAATCATTCACAAGCATAAATTATCATGTAACCTGTGTTTTGTTTGATCTAGTTTAACTACTGTAAAAGAAGAGCTTTCTTTAAAATGGTTGAGCAATGTTTAATGAGGCCCTCTTGCATGTAGGGAGGGTACACAGATCCCTAGTCTGAATTTCAATTATGGTCAATGATGTCATATTTTGAGAAGTTAAGCTGCGTGCAAACGGACGCAACATTGTTGGATGTTACATGTTGCATCTGTTTGCACACCCTGTTGCATGTTGTTGGATGTTGTTGTGCGTTGTTGTGCAAAGTTTGAAACCGTTCCAACTTTTAGCCCCGTGCAAACAGACGCAACATTGTTGGGAGTTGATGCGCCCATTTGCGCATAGCCTTAAGACCATGTCAACGGCCTTTCACTCAGTATTTCTTATGTCGCTGTTTCAAGGCCATGTTGCTTTTTGGAATATAACCCTTAACAGGACCTCTTAATTGTCCTACCATCAACCCCTGTGAGATATTTGCCCAGTAGCAGACCATCTGAACTGTTTGAGGTATTGTGATGTCACGCACGAAATGTGATCCCATACAATATTTTACTTTATTTCATGACACCCGCTCTCGGGTTGATTCAAGTGATCGGGAGAAATGCTACGTGATCATAAAACACAAAATTTTGCACCTTTTGATCCCAAATGTTGATATAATGTAAGAAAAATGAATGAAGATTAATTACTGTATGTTTTTAGTGGCATATTCTGTGTTTTTGTGGCATTAACTGTCGCTTGAAACTTACACCCCGACTGAAAACGCCACAAAACACAGTTCGGATGGTCTGCCTGTGGTAGCTGAGCCTGACTAAGAATTCTTAAACAGAACAGTTCTGCAGTCAAATCTGTCATCTCCTTTGCTTTACCTCTCTGATCATTACAATAGCTCATCTCAAAAGAGCCTAAAAATTTGCTATAAACTGATATGATGGCTATAATTAAGGGTAGCAGATTAACTACCAACTCGCAGGAGAAACATATCTGAGAACGATATATTCAAAATCTTCCATCACAAACAGGTGACTTCGAGATGTTTAATAAGGTCCCTTGGGAGACGAAATGAAGTTAGTGACCCTTTTATAGTTATTCTAACCAAACCAAAGCAGATTATTTCACTTTATAGTAAAGACTGCATCTTTAAGAAGTATACCTGAGTAAATTAAAGAGAGCCCTGACAAGACTGAAAACGTTTCTAACGAAAATGTTTGTATAACAGGATTTTTCGTGACAGTCTACGGCACCTTTCAATTTCAGCACAAAGGACGAAACACCCTCAATTTTCTTATTCAATCTCAACACAAAAGCATTGAACACAGGCATATTATCTCCTAAAGTGTAACTTAACGTCCTATGATTATTCAAGACCCACATTTTCATACCTTGTACGAAAAGAGATCGAACGTTGGTGATCAACAATATTTCCTCCCCCGATCCAGCGAAAGCGCAATTAAAATAAGTACGTCAAAGGGAAATTTGCATACAAACGATGCTTTCCTTTTTGAGTTCCCATAACAACAACATGAAAAGGATTGTTTCTGCTGTTTTTGAGTTAATTGTGCCACTGATGCGAAGAGAATTGGATACAAAAGAATGCACCGACTGATCAACATACCATTCGCCATTGGCAAATTTCAAATCTCATGAATTCGTTTTTAATATATTTTAACAAGGAGGTATTCTGAAATAAGCCAAGGTAATGAACTGAACTGTGGGAAATCTCAGACTCACAGATGTTAAGAGTGTTTTGTGTAAAAACTTCAATCGACCAAATGCCAATTTCACGCTACTTGCATTAGTAAGCTTATTATTACCTTTACAGCTTCTGTGCAAAAAGCTAAATGAAGAAGATATGTGCGCACCGCTTCGCTTTTAAATTATTTTCGAGATTTTATTTCAATGGAAATTGAAATAAAAAATAATAAAGCTTATCGTTTTTCTCGTTCAATAAAATCACTGCAGGCTGAAACAAAAGACTGTCCCGATGTCGAGTACCATATCATAGCTTGTTACCTCTGATGGAATTCGAAGTCATCGTTTAATTTTTGACGAGTGAAGTTAACTGAATTGATAAACTTACCAAAGGATTGATTAACTTGTCCTGTTGGATCACCAGAAGGCGGTCTCTCCTCGTTTTCCCCTGCATGGGGACGAAAGTCCAGAAAACTCCCTGGTGCACTGGACCCATCGTCATTTCCGAGTTGGTGAGACATCTTGAGGTCAACAGTTGGAAAGACAATTTGCCAGCTGCCTTCAGAAGTCAATTCTCATTCAGTATCATTCTTTTCTTCAGTTGTACTTCATCACATAATGGTCCATACACCGAGCAAATTTCATCATATTCTGATGAAAGATCGAGGAAGGAGCTCCACGCGCCACTACGCAAGCGGAGTTCAAGGAATGTCGAGAAAGACTGGATACTAGGAAGTCAAGTGTAACTGGAGAATTTTTGTGAACATCTTTGGCACATCCCTGCAACAGAATTTGTCTTATCGCCGCAACGACCGCCGCAACAAGTCGCACAAAATCAAATCAGACTAAATTTGTGCGACTTGTTGCGGCCAAAGAATTCTGTTGCTGAGACAAATTCTCCAATACATACAAGGTGATTCGTCGCTGCTGCGAAGTGTCGTTCAACTTGTTGCAGCAACTCAAGTGACACGGATAATCAGATGGGGGCAAAAAAATCAAAACCCGAAAAAATCCCTGGACCAGAATTGACCCCCAAAAAATCCCATGCCAAATTTCCGAGACTTAAAAATATCCAAAAGGTATTAAATGGCATAACACAGAAAATAAAGTTTTTTAAAAACCAAGTCTGGTTGTACTTTATTCGCAGAATTCAGCCGGCACGGCCGGGATACGCTGGCACTACAACGAATCTTCAGATTGATTTGAATACCAAAAAAAAATCCATAATTAAATCAAGCCGCCCTCTCAAAAAACTTGCTAAATTTTCCCACCCAAAAAAATCCTGGAATCGAAAATTTCAAACCCAAAAAAATCCTTCGATCATCCCCGTCACTTGAAATCCGGAGCACCCCCCTGGGCGATAGCGCCTTATCGTTAAAAAAACTGGGCGAGAAATAGCGAGTTCGTCGTTAAAGTTATAACTAGCGAAAAAGAGGGTTAAAGGGGGTTAGGAGAGAAAAAAATGATATGAGTTTCTAGCTGTTTTAACTGTGCAGTATAGTATGCATGGCCCTGCATTTCTTCCTCTTTTTTCTTTATTTCATGGACAGGAATGTGATCGAAACTGAAAATTCGTGCCGACCTGAAAATTCCCCAGCCCCGTCCCTCACCTCATCAATTCATCAACGGTCCGCCCTAAAAATAATCTGATTCTTGTTGTTGTTGTTGTTAAAAAGCAATCCAAGATTTCAGGAACAAGTTAAAAAATGTTGCACATAACATCACATCTAACCTTTGATTCACTTTACTTCAAAAACAGGTTCCTGACTAAAACTCAACCTCGTCCCCAGGGCTTTTCCCTCAAAAACCCATTTTTTGAGGGAAAAGCCCTGGGGACGAGGTTGACTAAAACTAGCAAACGAGCGACATGAATCCAAGGTGTTAGTCCAGGGCCGTGTCCGAAAAATCGTTCTCGTGGGCATTTTATGAACATTGAAGTTTCTTTGCAGAAACTTACAGTTTAAATGGTGCTGAATCGAAAAAAAGTTGTCTGCAATTTTTCCAGAGCCATTTAGGCCTGTTTTATGCAAATTAGATATGACGTCATTATAGTTGATGAATGACAACAAAATGCCTTCAGTTTGATTCGCGACTTTGTGAATCAAATATACTAATGCATTTACAACTGCAGTTTACATCACATTTTGACTGTTTCAAGGAATGAACGAATGGACCACATATTTAAAGCAAGATACACAGGTTATTTTCTCAGAAACGTCTTTTCTTTTCTCCAGATATTTACTACCTCTTTTAATGAATCCCCTTTGAATTTACGAGTCCAATTCTCCAGCTTTTTAAAGTTCTCTTTCTGTTCTCTGCCGGTTTTTAAACACCAGAAAATATATGGTATAATCCTGTCTGAGTCCAGCTAGAAAAGGCATGTGTTTGATGGTCTCCCCGTGGTTTAAAACTCAACACCTTATTTGTTTTCAGGTTATTCTTCCTCTCTTATTTGATTTTAGTGTGCGAAGGCATATTTACCTGACGACTACTACTGTGTATGCAATTTATCTGGAAAAAACCCCAAGATTATGGAGTTTTATTTATTTATTATTATCAATTTGCCGCATTAAAACAAGTACAATACATTCATTAATAAAATTAAATGGGTGTAAACTATGTTTAGGAAGGTCCCACACTTAGACGACCTGGTTTTCTGAATCGGCGAGATGCACATGATCATGCACGATGACCTCTTAACGCACTCTTGGGGCATTAATCGAGGGCAGTTGTTTTTACGAAGAATGGATAGCGGCGGGGATATGGCTCAAATACAATGCTCTAGATTCTTAAAGGGGAACGTATGAAGCATACTCAGACCTCACAGCATAACAGACTCTGCTCTAAGTGATTTGCACATGGAGGCGTTTTTGGGGAGCGAAGCCGATCACACAAATGTGATACTAGCATCCTTTGCCATGAAAATCATCTGCCAGCAAGGTCGATAAAGTGAGCGAGGGACGAAACACAACTCAAAGACTTTTTAATCGCAATGGAAACCGACGGGCTTCAAGAGAGGCTTTTGTGATTTGAAAAGGTCATGGAGTCTCCGTGTTACTACTAACTCAAGTTTGCACAGGACTACATGACGTTTGTGATGTGTATCCTGCTGTTCATACGCGCATCAAGAGAGGGAGACTGGAATCTTCACCTTGAGTCCCTCAAGGCTTTGGCACGGTATTTCTTTGCTCAAGGCAGGCTGAGTTTTGCACGAATGGTGCCACTATATACATCTAGCGCAGATGCACAGGTTTAAGATCGATGATCCCGATATTTGCCTTGAATTCGTGCAAAGAAACTTTTGTATAACCAAGAAGGAGCGCCCATTCTGTGCAATTGGTCCGGACCATGCTATAGAACACGTCAACAAGTTGATGAAGGTTCGGGGAGGACACAGCAACCAGCAGCCATGGCAAGATGGTTCCTTGAGGCCCCATAACTGAGTCGACTTGCGGCGCAAGCTGACGAAATGGTGGGATTACAAAGAGCTCCATCATCACACCATCATGATTTAAGCGATGTGCTAACAAAGCGCTATAGAGAGAATATACAGAAGCTTGAGTGACCCTTTCGCGACAGAAAGTCATCTGGTGAACATCATCACAAAAGCAGTTATGCTAGATTACATCAAGGAGGGAGTGCTAATGCAAAGTGACATCGGTCAGGCGTATTTTGGCACATTAGTTTGTTCAAGCAAAAATCGTCGCGGGCCCAAGCAAAAGGTACATCTCAAGTCATTGAAGTTTGTTTGGCAAACAAAGAAAAACAAAACAACTAGTGGAATCGCACCCTTAAAGGATGAGAGAGCTCTCTTCACACGTTTCTTAGTTGTGATTCTCTCAAGGCCTGATCTTCACATGGAGGATACCATAAGCACTTTTAAGTTAGCTGAGTTTCCGAGTACACCCTTCTCCTCTGATGGCAGTTTGCTACATTGCATTGCCAAGAGCAAGCTGATTAACATCCTAGAAGGCCTTCTACCCCATCAGTAGCCACAAACGCCTACAGTATAACCTCGCTCTCCAGACCCTTTCAGTACGCGTTTAGTAATTTTTATGCCATTGTAGCAGTTCAGTCACTGGGAACGCGATCGTGGGTAAGAAACAAGCGTGACCTAGCAAGCCATTTCATAGAAGTCGTTGATGCTAAGACTAATGTTTCCACCGAGGTTCATGTTATATTTGACCGCTACTAGATCCCCTACTCCTTAAAGGAAGTAACGCGCCAGTTTAACGACTGGTTACAAACAGAGCAGGGATATACAATGATTACTGTCGATGATGTTATTGACAAGACAACTCTGAAAGATCTTTTGAACTGCAACCAGAATAAGGAGGCACTGGCTTATAATCCTTGCAACACAACTCATCGAGTGCAAGAAAGACTCGTAGATGATGTATGTAGTAAATTCTAAAGGTGACTGCATGACATCTAATACTGTACTGCATGGTCTAGACACCACAAAGAGAGGAGAAACGTCCACATTCATTTAAAGCCAAGATACAGATGTACTCGTTCTGATGCTCTGGACTTACAAGAGACTTTGTCTGGATACAACATTGACTGCAGAGACAGAAGGAAAAGGAAGAAGTACTCCACTAGGACAACTCTACGAGGTAGTCGGAGAAGACCTCGTGAAGGCTTTATCTGGCTTTCACGCTTTTTCAGGATGTGATCAGACAGGCACCATCAGTGGAAAAAGCAAAGTGTGTTTTTCGAATAATCTAAAGAAAGCCAAACGACCGATGCTCGATACCTTCTCTAGCCTAGGAAACAGCGACACCATCCCAGATGATATGTACATAAAGCTAAAGCGCTTCGTCTGCCAGTTGTACATCCCATCGACACAGCTGAGAGAGCCCTAGGAGAGGTCAGATTCTTTCTTTATAGCAACACACACTAAGTAGATAAACTGCTACACCCTGCTAAAGCAGCCGTACACAAGATGACAAAATGAGCTAATCTCGTTGCATTGGTATCGAAGTCTTGCGACAACCCAATACTAGCATTCCTAGCCTAACGTTACACGAATGGCAACAAGATGGGGATGCAGCCTGTTCCAACCACAGATGTCCGAGCTTATGTCAATCCCCCCAGGGCGCAGGCTACCAGCACCTTACCCAGCTGATCCAGTGTCGATGAAATTCGCATGCTTCAAGAGCTATCAATGAGCTGTACGACAGCAGGAAGCACAACCTCTAATGGACAGATATGTCTGGTTCATGTAAAGTTCTGACGAAACGTACGAACAGAAACTTTAACACTGACACAGTTAAGCATGTTAGAACGCATAACAGTGACGATGAGGACCTTCAAATCTAGTCCCATCAGCTAAGAATTCTAAATTTTCGGAGAAGGCATTATAGAGGAACTTTATATGATAGAACAGACTTAAAAGAGCTTTATATGATAGAACAGACTTGTGCACAGTTTCTTTTGGATTATGTGAGTGATTTCGGCTATGTATAACAAAGCCAGACTTGAGTACCCTGTGTTTTAGGGGTCATGAATGTAATTTGCATAAATTAATCTTACACGACTTCGAAAAAATTGCAGGCAACTTTCTTACGGTTTAACAACTCTTAAACTTTAGATTTCTTTCAAGAAACTAAAATGTTCATGAAATGCCCACGGGATTACACATGGCCCCGGACTATGTACAATAATACGCATGTCCTACCCAACTTAGCTTAGTCCCCAAGTTACA